TGGTCTTTCTAAGGTAGTAGAAGAGTCTCTACAATCTAGAAGGTAAAATTACTAACTAACTTTCAACTTATTAACTATTAAGATAAGAAAATAACCTAAGAGGCTTTTATAAAAGCCATGTTTAGAGACCTCAAATTATGATTGAACTAAGATAATTAGATATTAATTAGAAATTTAATTTTGATTATAATTTCATTATATAGTCGTATTGCATCACGACACCGTTATCCAAGTGGAATCTACCATAGAACCTTCTAAAAAAAAGAATTTAAAGTAGTTATCTAGATGGAGTCCACTACCTAAGAATATTGTAGAAAGTCCAAGGTGGTAGGATAAGATATAAATAGGATTGTCTAGGGCTTTTTGAGGCATTTGTTCAAGTATGGCTTCGGACCCTTTCTCTTAGAAAATTTTGGTTCTGCATCTTTCTATTTAGATCTGTTCTATTCTATTTCTATTTGCTCAATTTTATCTTTCATGTCTTATTTTGTTTAGTTTTGTTTAATTTTGTTCAAGTCTATTTTTTCATATTTTATGAAGAGGCCTTATATTCTTATGGATTGGAAAGAATCTTGGATTTTTCAGTTTGTTTAGTCTTGTTTCACCTTCTCTATCAATCAAATGGGGAGCAAATTGAGGCCCTCAATAGCCTTTTAAGTCTTGTTTTGTCAATGTGCATAAAGATAAATTATACTTAATTGCCTTTTGAAGATCTTATTTGCTACTTAATAAACATGAAGTGACATTTTGATGTGGCTCTACAAGAATGATAGAAGCCATGCAGAGCATGTATGTTAATGCTTACTTAGGTACCTAATAGATCTTAAAGGGATCTTAGGATAATAAGAGGTTTAGGTTAATAGTAGCAACAACGATATATTGGAGCTCATAACTAGGTCTATACTTACTTGATAGAAGTTTTAGTACTTGCTTTCTTTTTTATAATGACTTTTTAATACATACTATAGGTCATGATTCACCTTATACTTACTTACTATGTAGGTCATCTTTTGGTAGCATGGAACTTAAGTCTTGTCACTTAAGTGTAAGGAGATAGATACTATACTAAGTAGAAGCCTCTAATCCATACAAGGCAAAGGAAAAATTGGTGAAAGTGGGCTTGAAAGTGCATTTTGTCTTGATAACTTGTATAAAGACCACTGCATTATTACAAGATTGTTAAGAAGGGACTCACTTGATTGTTAAAAGGTGATATCTTTGGCTAAATAATTTAACTCGCTTAAAGACTACAAGGTGTTATATATTGGCTTAACGGATGCAACTTACAATCTAAACAATTATGCTAAATGGTTATAGTGGATGTGACATCGATCTTAAGCTTGAGATGAAGTATCCAGGTTTAGATTTTAGGGTTTAGGATTTAGGATATTTTAAGAGCCTTGAATCCCATCTAAGCTTGAGATAGAATATCTATGCCTTTTTTGTTTGTATTTCAATATGTACATTTAAAATTTGTTGTTAGTAGGCAGACTTGGAGTTGCAACAAGGACCTTCATAAATTGTTTGAAATTTGGACAATATTATTTTATTTTATTTTATTGTATTTTCTCTATGAAAAGATTTGTATTGTCAAGGTGGCTTTACATAGTTTCTTGATGTTTAGGTATATTAGGCAATCATGGATATGATATTAGATATTAAAATAATAACAACATGAAATGAGTAAGTAATTGTAATCAATCAAAATTGTAGCTTTAGTTTGAATTTGTTTGTTATATATTATAATTAAAGACTCTTATCTTAGTGCAAAGTTGAAAATTAGATAGAATCTTAGATCAACTACGTATAAATTAATAGTATCCATACCAAATAATTATCTTATCTCTTCAGTAATTTGTTGAATTATTCATTGGAGTTTATTTGGAACTTGTTTCATTGTAATCTAAGTAGGAATTTTTATACTAATTAGCTTTCTGTCAATTGAATGATCTCACTTCAAAAAGAGGTCAAAGCTTGGGATTTATTTTTGAAAGATATAAAGCCATTGTATCAATTTGTATAGAATTGCTAGTAATAGATTCTTTAAAGTATTTGTATTGTCAATTTTAATCAAAAAGAACCCTTTGCCTAGATTGTAATTCAATATGAATGTGCATTGGACCTTGTTTTGCATCTGTATTAATTACTATGAAAGTTGGAAATTTAAGAGCTTATCCTCCATAAAGCAAGCAATGGCAACATAGTTGGAAAAAAATCCATTTCTTATTTAACCATCAATTAATCCACATGAATAATATAATTAGTATTTTGTAGCAAAAACCATGCATATCTGCATGAATATATCTTGAGTAAATCTTTATATGGCTCAGCCTTAATTGGGCAAAGCATCCTTGTTGAACTTGGTTGTTATATAAAGATGCTAGAGAATGCTTCTTCTAATCTCACAACTTTATCATTTGACTCCATCGAGCTTATCTATTGAGGCTCTTGTAGCATATGGTCATATTTTCGTCTAAGATTCCTCCCTAACAAGATCAATGTATGATGCTAATGCAACCACATAAGTACTTATTAAAAATAAAAACTAATAAAAAAACAAAAAATACTAATTGTACGGCCGCATGTCCACAACCCTAATTCTACCATCCTTTGATTTCTTCAAATTTTAACATGATATATAGCTTGAAGGAACTTTGCAATAATATTATTATACTGCAATGGATGATTGAATCTTATGAGCTCTTGTCAAGCAAATTGGGGCAATGGCTATTACACATACAATGTGCATGAAATTACTAGTGACTAATATGGACTATTCTGCTCAATCTTCTTAATTAGGATTTGTGGAGTCCATTGCACCTTCCTTTTGGTCCTACCTAAAAACCTTTTATTATAGGTTTTCAAATCTCACATGATATCACATTAATGTTGAAATTTTTTCATAATATAATCAAAATATCAAAATATACTTTAGATCTTAAATGATCTATTATAGGATTATTAATAATAAGATCATCACTTAAGATTTATATGTATTATAAAAAGATTGGAAATCTTTTCAAATAATATCTTAAAAGTTTGAAGGATAATAAAGTTATAAGATTTATAATATCAACTATAATTAGACAATCACATTATTTTTGATGATTTTTGGATTTTTTTTATATAAATTTTATTTGTAATAAATTTCATGAGTTTATTGCAGACGCATATATATATATATATATATATATATATATATTAGTACCAATTAAAAAAAGTAATTCTCAAATTTACTATTTGACTAATCTATTTCTTTGAATTTGATTTTATTGGTTGTAACTTAACATGTAAATTGAAATTTGTATCAAAATATTATTTAATTTCTACCATCTAAAAGAAAATAAATAAATAAATAAAATTTACATATATAATAAATCAATTTAAACAAAAGGTACTAAAAATCATCATATTTCAAATACTATGTTTTTACAACTTGAAAAAGTACCTACTATATTTAAATCATGGTTTTTGTTTAATGATTGTTTTTCTTCTTGTGGAAATTATAGACTTGGAGTATAAAAATACTTTTTTGTATAATGCAAGTCTATAAAAATCTAATGTTTTAATTCAAAACAAACATGCAATTCTATTGCTAATACAATCAATTGAATTTGGATGGTGAGGTGGTTCTAAATAATAACATAGATTTCTTGAATGCAAAGCTTAAGAAATGGACCACATGGATTCTAAATAGTGCACCAAAGAACTATTGGGAATAAAAAATAATTGATATTTAAGAAAATGAGTAATTGAACAAATAAATAAGTCACTATTTATTATATTCAAATTTTCTAGTAATTCACATCTAGTAAGAGGTATTTACATCTAGTAATTCATTTTGAAAAGTCATGGTACAAAAGTCTTATATTTGATAAATAAGAATTTTCATTACAAAATTTTGGATATAGTATAAAATAAAAAAATGATATGAAATAGACTAAATTATTGTTTTATTATATGTATTAGTTCATATCTATATTTTAACATATATATATATATATATATATATATATAGATTATTTCAAACCACTTTTTAATATATCTTCTTAAAGTTCTACATAAACCATCTTTTAAGAAAAATTTGCCACAAATTTCAATGGACAATGATATTTATGTCATATATAATATAAAATATGTTTCATATCATCTTTTCTTCTTAAAATTTCTAGAGTGATTTTCTTTAGTATAAAGCTAACTAAATAAGATTTCTTGATTTCATCCAATACAACGATGTAAAAGTTGTGATTTAGTACATCATTTCCTATTTATAAATAAAAACAAATTCATATATATTTTTCAAGTATCTTAAAATATCAAGAATATCCTTGCATTCTTGATAATAGCAAATATATTCCTTGGATGTGATAGAATATCACCACGAGGAATATATTTGCTATTATAAAAAATGTGAATGATATATTTGCTATTATCAAGAATGTAGAGGTATTCTTGATATTTTAAGATATTTAAGGAATCTATATGAAATTTTCTCAATAATATATCAAGTACAAAATGTAGATAACCATAATTTTAATCCTAGAAAGATATAATTAAAGAATAAATAGATAAATATAATAACAAAGATTGTTGTTAATAACTACAAACCAACTTTGGACTTAGAAGTGGTTTTGAAACCTAAAAATATAGATCCAAGTGGCATCAAGATATACAAGAAAAAAATATTCAAACTATTTTTTTCTACTTGAAGATCAGAAGCAACTACTAAATTTAAATGTATTGTGTCAAAAGAAAACTCAAATAGATTTAATTGAAAAATATACAATTGTTGATTGGAAAATATTTACTATATGAAAAACTCAAATGACAAATAGATTGTATATTTGTTGTTACACCTTGATGCAAAATATCTAAGTGATTGTCAAGTTAGAAATAACTTTTGCTCAAACAAAAACTTTTGTTGAAATAAACTTTATGGTTAGAAACAACCATTACTTATGCTCAAACAAAAACTAATTGTCTTAAACCAAACGTACTCCTGATCAATAATTTGCTTCGGGTATATGGTAAAAGGATTACAGGAATTACAATAAATTTACAAAAAGTAGACCAAGAATCAGAGGGCATTTGAACAGATGAAAAGAACTTGGTGTCCACGAGATGTAGTGAAGTGAAAAAACTGAGCGTCTGACAACAAATGGGCTTCCTACAGCATATTCAAACTATTTTACCTTTCAAATGGGCCAACCTGGCCTTCAACTGAGATTTTGCTTCCTGCCATAATGCCCAGGAGGTAGACCATTGCAAACCAGGCATTCAAGGATACAGGCCTGCAAGATAAGTGCTAAAACTATGAAGCACCCTGGCTCCTTGAAACTTGTCCCCTCACTTTGAACGGCTGTCGACAATCACTTTGAGACACTCCGACCTCAGATCTGTCTCTGAAAATATGGCCTTGATCAGATGTTGTACCTGCACATCAAACACAACGCAGGGTGAGTTCATGCTTCAAAGAAGTCACCTTTTCGTTTTGTTCACTTGGAAGTCGTCTCATCTCCACAAGTTGAACTAACTCGACCATGCTGGGATACTAATTGGGTCGACCATGTCAAGCCAAAGGTGCAATCCTCCAAGCATTTTCCGTAGGTTCCTGATCAGCTCCTGGTGCTGAGCAGAGACATCATATCAGTACCGGGAGCTCATTCCCAACTCCTCCTTGCCTCGAAAGGGACCCTATTCAGATTCTCACCTCATCAGCCGAGAACCCAGATGAAGGCAAATCTCCATTTTCCCACGATTGTGTAATTGGCCTCAACGACATGTCCAGCAAATCTGTTCATGTTCAACAGCAACTCCTGTTAGATCATAGATTGGCCTATGTCATAAAAGCAAATCAGCCACTCCCATTCCATATTGCACTTCTCGAAGCTTTGACGGCTGATGGTGCCGTCATATGCAAAACAAAACAGGACTTCGAGTTCACGGGGTCCCAATTGGTCTAGCAACCTCAGTCATCACCATAATCGCAATAAGCACTTGACTATCAAGATCCTTAGAAACAACAGAAGACTGCAAGGTAATCTAGGGACTGATTCTTGCCAGTCAACCGCAAAAGTTTACGCCACAACGGAACTCTTCTCTGGACAGAATCCTTTGCACAATCGCCACCAGCCTCATCTGAGTCTTCGTTTGCTGAAGCAAATAATGTTGATAAGCCGGCCATCGCATCCAGCATCAGCTTCCGTAGCTGCATGCACAGAAGCCTTCATCAAAAACCCTGTTGACGTATCCAGCACATCGATAACAGAAAAAAAAAGGCTCGCAGGCGCAATCCCGAAATCACAGGAGCCTAAACCATCGAACTAAGTACAATTGGAGCCTGCAACCAACACATGCCTCTCTTAACTCCACCCTAGCCCTTCCTCTCCACATAGTTGCATGTTTTTCGAATCAAATAGAAGTAACGAGTTGAAGCCAAGTGGTAAACAATGGTTCTGATTCTCTAATACCATAGCAGGCATTACCTGTTCACCTTCTTCAACAGAAATGTCGTCAAAAGCAAGCACTTCATTTATAAGACGAGTGACCACCGCATTCACAAGCTTGCCAAACGCTAGATTATACACACTCTCCGCAAGAATGGGTTGCCACACCGTCCGAATAGCCTCTAATTCAATTATTACCTGGTGTAAGAACCAGTGTTCCTCTGTGAGTTAACCTATGACCGTTGGGAGTAGAAACATACGTCTTTTTCACTTTGATGTTTTTGGAACATGATTGACGACAACAACCATAGCTTGGATGTCCATCTAAAACAGGTTGTAATGAAAAAAGACATTCATTTCAGCTCTTTCAGCTCATACGAAATAAGTCTACCAACAAAAGCTCATCTAACAATATTGTATAGCCAGCTTGTATGTAACAATTGTATGCAGCAAGTCCAATAACAAAACATAATTCTAGGTAAGGCACGGACCTTGCCAATTGCATTGGTGCATGTATCATATCTTTTTCTCTGCTCGAGATACTGGAAACCGTTTGCCTGGTCTAGATCCTACACGAATAGTTCTTTCCATAAGTGAAAGTGAAGTAAGGACACAGACGTTCACAAACGCAAAGATTCCACCAAGTCAATGGCACATCACTGATGAAGTGCAGTAGCAGCATAAATGCAACAGGCAAACATCAGAAATGATTTTTTCGTGAAAAGACTTACCTCCATAAGCTTCACAGTAATCAAGTGCATTTGCTTCTCAAGGATTTGACAGCCAAACCGCCGAAACAAAGGAGCAAAATCCACAAACGACATGATTTTCTGGACATTTCGAGGAAGAGCTGGATAGTACTGTACCAGGCAGCAACATGTAAAAATCAAATACTTCTTGGTCATAAAAGCCCACTAATTCACAAAGTCTGATACACAAAAGTGAACTACTACACTTTACGATACGCTTACGCATGCTTCTGTACATTATGACCACAGCAGTACCGCCCCAATCGACTTAAGTAATCCATTTGATCCAGCTGAAGTGAAACGTGATAGAATCTCCTGGTTTAGGGCATCAACATGTGCTCAAGAATCACCACGTCACAGGTTTAAGGCACCAACAGTTTGGACTCCAACTTGCAAGCCTTAGATATTCCTAAGACACAAACTCAACACCACGACTAGAGGTCCAAATAGTCCGCCCTTTAAAAAGAATCCATGTGCAGAACTTAAGAAAAGAATTAAATAATTTTAAACATCTGCATCTCCCTGGATTATAGCTAAGTTAAGAGGTGAGACCTGAAAGTGAAGAAAGAGCACGTGATGTGCAATATAAAAACAATCGTTGTAGCACAGCGAAGCAGCTTTATGTATACTATTCAAGTATTCCATCGCCTACACAATGACAGATACAACACTGAAGGGATTAACGGAAGTGTAGGGTCCAATGAAAGACATACTACAGTTAAGAAAAGCCTTCAAAATCCTCACATAAACAATGAGATTGATGTGTAAGGACCAACACGAGGTTATGGAGTAGAGAGGATATCTGTAAACAACTCTCAATAAGCACGATAACTGACCTTGACAGGAATAATGGCTCGGTGGAGATGTAAGGCATCTCTAGCACCAAGGTAGAGCTCCATTGCTATACTGGGACTGGACTTACAAGCATCCTGCAACCACATGGAAAAGAATTCGTTAAACTAGAACACATCGACGCAGTCCTGATTTCATACCAAAGAAGGTGCCGCGAGAACTAGTAAGCTATGCACAACAATTACATAGTTCAATCCTTACAAATTGAAACCCACAAATAGTTCAGAACACCGCTCTATACACAGACACATAGAACTTATACTGGTTTTGCTTGTGCTAACCAAGTACACACTACGAGGTCACTTGAAACGAACGAAATAGTAAATAGGAAGATACATATGAGTGTCTTGTGATCGATGAACCTGCAATGTATCATGTACCAGCTCTAGGAGCTGCTTTGCCGCCAGGGTAATGGTACATGTCTCTGTCTGCAGTAAGGATATGTTGTCACTGTCATCCACGCCCTGTATGGTTTTCTCCTCTCGATTGATCTGAGCTTCAACAAAACCATTAATTATAAGAAAATGATTCAGGCACGTGTTATACACTTCAGAAGCACGCTGCAAACAATGGACAGTCACATACAACAGGAATTATCTGACACCTGATTATAAAGACTTACAGGATAAACCTGAGTAGAAAAGAGCAAACACGTGCCCTAAACGGTAAAGACTGCAAACAGATATATCAAGCAATAGTTTCAGTTCCCTCAGAAAACAAGGTGTGAAGATTATACACACCAAATTAGATCTATAGTCAAATTTTATAAGTAGGTCACGTGCTTTCGCCATGACAGAATTCCTCTTCTTAGCACCAAAATGATGTTCCACGTCAGCTGAGAAGCTACGAAGCTTGTCCCCACGAGTTTCATTCCAGTCTGGAATCAGACAGGCTTTCCCCAAGCATGTCTCGAACTCAGCACTGGCCTGGGCTAACTCCTGAAAGCTAGCAAGCTCGGATATTTCATTTGGAACAGCCTACAAACAAAGCGAACAAGGTCCTCATTAGATGGCCCCAAGATTAATGAAAAAACTACATTTTCCTTGACGATAGCATAGTTTCGAGATGGAGCCAAAAATGTATCGTCAGGTTACGATCTGGATCATGGTCAAATTAATTCTCTATAATATCAAATCAGTTACATCTTCAGATATTTAAGAACATGGCGCGTTTATAGGAAATTCGAATAACACAGAAGAGAGAATCAAACGAGGAATGAAGTCCATAAACTGTATAAAATGTCCATTCGGTAGTACTTACACTGATGAAATGCATTCTGGCAAATAAATACAAAAATTACCTTGCGAAGACAGTTCGCTGTGATGGCCTCTGCTAACTCAGGCCAAATTACACGACCAAGGAGCACCATCCATCCATCGTTATCAACCAGCAAGTTGGTTCGAAGATATTTGAACACTTCGAGGAGCTTAGCAAACATCTCTACGTATCCACCCCCATTTGTCTGGACAAAGAATACTCATGTATTAGGTATACCAATTCTAAGTGTTAAATTTCTTGGTGCAGCAAACTAAACACGAAGAACATCAATCAATATAATATCAAGAGGTCAAAGAAATCGAGTACGCTGATAAAAACACCAGGGTGTTGTTATTGTGACATGCAAGAGCAAACACACAAAAGTGTTCAAATTTAAGATTGAGGAAATAATATTGAACACTATCCTTGACTTAGTGATAACAGATTATTCTATTACTCAACATTTTCAATTAGTTTACAACACTTGAATATCAAATAGATAGATGGCAAACCCATAGTTACCTTACTACAACTTTGCATCCAGTTGAGAATCGCTCTCCCTTCTTGATCCATGTCGTTGACATGTACCGCAAATCTAGGACTTCGAACTATCGGATCAATGATATGCTTGAGGAGTAAATCAGCTGTTTTAGCCAGCCTAGTTTCCAATACTCCTACTTTCTGCTCGCAAGAAATTCAGGTCTTAGTCAGAGGTATTACCCATAATATACCAGGTTACACTTGGTTTGCCGCCTGTATGAGATTATGGTCGTGCAATTTATTTCTACAATATGATATCATTGAGAATGTAAGACTTCAGAAACTTCTCAAAATATGAGAGGGTTTGATACAGATGATCTGTAAAGTTAATTGGTTGTATAATGAGGCGGAAGTAACAAAGAGCTGAGAGGAGACATTCTGGGAAAGAGGCTAACAGTTGACAAATAGAAGGATCACGTTCACTCGTCAAAGTGCGTGGCAACGAATGATGTAGAGTTTGCTGTTCAATTGTTAAAATGCCCTGAAGCTAGAAACACAAAAGGATGTAAATAGGAAAGTAGAGAAGTCCTGCGTACATCCATTGTAGAAAGAATAGTAGCTAATTCCACTTCATCAGCATTCACCCCTGCCATCATATCGCTGCAAGAGACACGGGAATATATGCACAGTTCAGAGCCATGCAAATTTAACACAACTGCTTTGGCGAACAATTCCTCCAGGAAATTTCGAAGCTGCACAAACAAGCACCAAGAGAATCAGCTCACATGTATATGTCATCTGACTTCGTCACGATGAACATCACAGCGTTCATTGACAACTTACGGATAACCAGGGCGAATCTCGTCCATAAAACGCAAACTTGTTGTAAATAAAATCAGAATGGAACTGTTCGTACCTTGGAATAACAAGTTGCCCACTCATCCTGCAAGAGAACAAACGCCTGGACTTCATCCTCCTTCATTTGCCTCTCCTTCTTATCATCTCTGTCTCCAGTCCAATCTGCAGGGAGTTCAAGCTGCTCCCGTATTCTGCATAATTTAGTCCCCGACTCAGCAAGAGCTCCTAGGTGAAAATCCCTCTCTGCAGATTTCAATCCTTCCCGCACACTTGCAATAAATTCCAAAGCACCAATGTACTCCTTCCGTTCTTCCTGCTCTTCCCACAATTCCTCTGCCGTGGCTGCCAATCGACAAATCCCAACGTCAAAAGGAGGTTCTCCCTTACGATCCTCCTCTAAAGCATCGACAACCTTCTCCACATCCTCCGCTAGAGCCTCTACGCCTGCCGCAGCGCCATGCGCATCCTTCACAATGGAGTTAAATTGATCGTGATTCTCCGCAACAATCTTCCGCAAACGGATTTTGAGCTGGTCCGACCTCCCGTGCAGCTTGGACAAGAGTAAGCGCAGGTCAGAGGCAGACAAAGGCGCAGAGTCATCAATCCTGGATCCTAGCGACGTCGCCACAAATTCTCGCAGGTCGAATTCTGCATGTCCAGTTGATTCCGCCATTTCAAGCTCTCAAAACTAACTCTCCTCAATATTAAAACACACCTCGACTTCTCTATTCATCCTCTCATCTTTGTTCCACACCGCAAACCTTTCGCCACGAAACAACCATCTTGTGGACACGCAAAAACAAACCCTAATTTTTTCGTAAAAACCCCGATGACAATTATTTCACGAGCGCTATTTCTCAACACGAAGCTGTTTCGAAGGCTGGGTCTGTCAATGCGAATTCGCAACGAGATGCGATTGCGATCCGATTCAATTCAGTTACAGTAGAGCACGATTGTGACGAGGAAGAGACAGGGGAAAACTCTTTCAACAGTCGTTGCTGCATTAGGATTCTTGTGATTCAAATGTGAGAGAGGGTTCTAGTATTCCAAAAAATAAATAAATAAATAAATAAATAATCCATTTTCTCTGTTGAATCCCTTTCCATCTGTAAATAGTTGAATAACACTAAGGATGGACTTATTCAAGTTCTTGGTCTACACTTTCTAATAAAATGTACAAAGTAGAAAATACTTTTGCTGAGGATAGAACATGTATGAAATAAATGCTCAAGTATTGTTTCTCAACATCAAATATAATGTTTGTTTGTGAAGATTAATTCTTCCTTTTTTAGGAGAAATACAAAGTTTGACAAGTTTAGAATTACCTCAAGATCTACAAAATAGTGAAGAATATTGAAATTTAATCTTGAAATTTAATCCTCAAGTACTGTGATAATATGCAATTTGTAAAAGGATTAATGCATGTGCTCTATCGAAAAGCACACAACTAGATTGTGGAAGTTCTAAGACCGTTTCATCACTAAATTAAGTTATGAAAAGTGTTTGTTTCAGGCTATTAGGATTCAAAAAAACAAAAAAACAAAATAAAATAAATGCACTGAATACGTATAATTTCTATCTGTAAAATAATAATAAATTATATAAAAATGTAGAAAACTAGTATTTTGTGTCATTTGTAGCACGAATGTTAGCTCTTTTTATCATGAAAGGAAGTCATGTAATTACCAAGTATGAAATATGGCATTGACATAGATATTTAAGTGGTTGTGAACAATTCAGTTCTTCCGAAAAATGTAAGGTTCATCATCGCTTCAACACATCCTTGTGCTTAAAACTATCTCTTATCAGCAACACCAATAATTCTTTCGAAACCTCTACCATAACATCTTCAGTTAAAAGTAGTCATATATTCTGCACCACCTGTTCGACTCGCACCTTCTTCTGGTACTCTACTCCACATGCACATGATATTTTCAGTGAAAGCTCAGGCCCTTACTTCCTCAAGTTGGTAGTTCTTTCATCAAAGAGTTCACACAATCAGCAGCGTTAACAAGACTTGGACATCATTGCAAACTTCTTATTAGTTAGTCCTTCATATACCATAGGCAGACGCAGCAACCGATAGATGAAGACAGTAATGTCACGTACTGCATAGCCATTCTACACCCTACGTTAGGCCTTCATGGCTTTCTCGAAAGCGTCGGAAGTCTCAGAGATTGCACATATGATTGTTTCAGAGTGACCCTTGTCCGGCTGACGCGAAAAAAATCAGAAATTTTCTAAACCGGAGGAACTGAAGCAGCTGAGGTGATGCAGGAAAACACCGGATTTGGTGTTAGTAATCTACTCAAAGTGGTACAGAATAGTGTACAGACTCCGTACTCCAAATACAAAATATGCTCTAGCTTTACAAGAAATAAAAGATTAGTTCATCAAAGGTGTCTAGCAGACGAGTGCTCACTCTCGTAGCATTGCTTTACATGTGAAAAAAAAGTGTTGATACTGTCTAGATGAATGAGGACCCACGATCTCCTCAAGGCATAACTTTAAGAATGCACTACTGCACAACCTCTACGATCCTTTCCTACTCGCAGCTCATGGCAGAAAGCGCCACAATTCTGATCACAGCATAAAAATAAACTGGAACTAAGTAGTATCGAACTAAACTGAACAGGAAATAGATCTGTTCAGCAAAAAATTATTGGATGTAAGAATCAGGTCAAATAACATGACAATGAGCTACAATGGTGGTATACACACAAATAAGAATGAGCGGCAAAGCGTAGGACAAACCAGTCAGATCCAATTCTGAAACAGAAAGACCATATAACCGCAATGAAGACTTGAGTGAATGTGCTGACCGATAGCACAATCAAACTGCCCCAATTTCTGCCAAAAATGCAGTGCAAAGATCCATAAACAAAAAGGTGGGGCCATCTATTCGTTGTATATCCAGCAAGTACTTCCTCTCTCTCGTCTTGTAAAGCTGCAGTCACCACGCACATTATTATCAGTACAACCTTCCTGTTTTCCATGAATGAGTGAGACCTTCGTCATGCTCATATCTCGGCAGGCTTACCTCACAGCACCACGACAATTACGCTGTTTAAGAACACCAAAGTTGAACGCCAAAGTTGGACGTCCCTGAACGAGATTCCACTTCATTTGAGAAGAGTCACTATATAGATTGCTCAATCAGTGCACAAAAGGTTTAGAGTGTGAGAATGTTGTTCCACTCTCATTTATCACTAAGTGATTGGAAAGAAAGGAGCGTCTGAACCAAGAAATATTGCAACATGCGACTTTTGCAAATGCTGTACCTGGAGCTGAAATTTTACTACAAAATGCTCCTCTAATTCCGCATCTTCCAATGGACTGGAATCTGTCACTGGGCTGATCTCACTGGTTGGTAACGACCCCAGGGTCATTGGCGACTCACTCAGGCTGGTACTAACTGATGACCCGTGACTTTTATTAACCATAAGCGAGGAAATATGAGACACCCATCTGCACCTACAGTCTCAATAATTATTCATCAGCCTCATCACAACATAATTATAATAATTTAAGAACAGAGATTCCACATCCCAAGGTTATTAATGATTTGATCATGACAATATGTCTCGGAATATGTAGATATTATTCATCAGTATCACTAGTGCAAATATACTCGAAAAAGTTAATAATAAGACGAAAGCATAGAAGCATAACGTATATCGTAATGTTGCAGCGTACACACTGCTTCTACAATTCTTGCTGACAAGCATAGTACACATCCAATTGAGGGAGAAAAGAATGAATAACACACAAGGAGGCGAAAGGTTTATTCAAATATCATTACTAGGTTGTACCTGATGCAGTAGGGCGCTACGGTTTTCCAGTTTATATCCAAGTCTTGCAAAGTTTTCAATATTTCCATCATAATCTCACTGGGATGGGCCTGAGACTGCATTAGGGCAAGAGAGTAAACAAAAAGCACAGAAAGAAAATCAACAACCAGGCAACTTACTCACAAACACAGTCATATTAGCCATAGCTTTGTAAGAACTACGCACACATTGGATTGACCTGACGTCACCAGCCGAATATTGCAGTGGAATGAATGAGACATACGTATAAAGATGTTATAAATTAGTCCTCTTTTTTGAGTAAGATGTTTCCTAACAGATATCAACCACAGGAGCTTCGATTCTGTACAGAACTTCACTAACCTGGAGACCAACAGCCCAACTCCCGTTTTGCAAGACGCTTATCAAGGGTCTCGCTGCATACGCCGCGATTGGTGTCATCAGGCTGCTACTGAGGTGAACTACATCTTGAGCTGGTTCCACAATGGTGGATGCATCAGACTTGGACGCACTTTCACTTCCCTCACCAGACTCATCCTGCAATCAACCCAATCTTCTTGTTATTTTTACTGAAAATAGAGTTCTGGTGTGAAGTAGTTCTTTCTAGACACATTTTTAGTGGATGTAAAACTTGTTCGAAATAACTTTGACAAGTATACACACTAAAATAACGTCATCCATTTCAAGAACATAAGAAGCATTCATTATACAGCGGAACCACATTTTCTATCAGAACATCTATACTCACATCGGGTACTTTTACCTTGAGTAAAGAATACCAGGTAATTCTAAAATGTAGAAATATTACAATCCTCAACTAACTCGAATACCACAAGTATCAAAAAGGAACCAGGAAAATCAGGAGGAAAGAATGTGATAGACAACTATGTCACTATAATTGGAGCCGCCTCCAAACTACAACGTAAACCAGAAACCGATTTAAACCCGGCGCATAATAAAAACTTATATTCCAACACCGCGGGCAGATATCACGTCCCGAACGAGGCAAGAAGGCTGTCCAAAGTGGGTAACTTTGGTCACGAGGACTTTTTGTAACCACACCGACCCAATTAGGTTAACCTCCTTTCCCGAGTTGAAGGGATGGTTTCTACTATTGTACGACCAGAGTGAAAACATCAAGACCAATCAAGGCTGCTTTTGGATTAGAATAAATAATTTGTCAATGGGAGGGAATAAAGGAAGCCTTGTAGAAGAGATGCTCGAATTCATTTAAGGGGAAAATGATCTGGCTCCTTAACACCAAAGCTTTGAAAAAATATATAAAAATAGATACACAGCTGTTACCAACTACCAATTCAGGGCAACATAACATTCTAGAGATGTGCAGTTTAGTCACTTGAGCACAAGTAGATCAAATTGAACCCTTACATTGAAACGAGACTCAGTTCAAACCACAGAAATCAACAAACTATTAACTCTTCTAGCACATCCACCTAGAAGCTCAAAATCATATAGTGCTAGAACGTCATGCGCCACAACCCTAAATTTACAACATTGAGGTGAAATAACTCCGTTACCAACATTTGGTAGTACCTCGAAATGAAAGAATTAACCAAGCATGTCCTCTTTTCAACTTCCAGCAATAACTGAGCACAAAATAATGCTAGGAATACAAGAGCGTTTGAATTTCTTCACCAGAAATAAACCGTGTTTTCTCACTGCCTAGATATTAAGATCTGGAGCTCACCAGATCTTCATATTCAGTCTCAAGGTAGTCATCTGGGTTGTGGGATCGCTGACTGTCCAGTATTAGGTAGTAAGTCACCGTTGCCTGCACAATTCATCATCAAACCCACCCCTCCCCACTTGTACATCATTGGCTTGAACCAGTCGACCAGAAAGCATTGTCTCAAACCACAAAATATCTCGAATGACATGTGTACACCCATCAACCAAGTAGAAGATGCTAAAACCACCTTGGTTTGTTCTTGCCTCTGAAGACAATCTACCAGCCATTTCTTGTCGAAGCCAATTTTTTCTACTAAGGACGAGACATCTTCATCAATCTGCGTCAACACATTCAACTCTCAACGTTTAACAAACATGAACAAACATCTGTCCATCTACAAGATTTGTGCAGAAACCCTTCAATGGCTCTATCGTGTCTGCAACTGCCATGTGCACACAACAAAGAAGGGGGCTCATTTAAATAGAAGATAGTGAGAGAAAGATGTACACACGAATTTCAAGTTTTGAATATAATGTGGAGTCCCCAAAGCAAGATAGCGAGGAAGATGCAACTGAAACCAGGGATGACACCGTATTTCTGGTATGGTGATTCGAGTAAGAGGATCTGTGTTCAAGATCTTAGTGATGAGATCCCTTGCTTGGGAGGATAAATGGCTTGGTAGCGTATAAATACCATCCTGCGACATTGAAATGTGCAAAGTTCAAAACAACTACTTGTACATGTTCCTTAACAGCAAAAACATGATCCGAATCACTGATACAAACTAGGGATCCACTATTTGCGAGTTTACTCAGAAATCGAGCAAGAGCGCTCCTGCAGCTTGAGGCCTTGCATCAAAAAGGGTAAATTATCACCGTTGTAAATACCCTAATGCTTTTAGTAACAGTCTGTTGATAGGCGTAACCAACCAGACTGACAAGACGGAATGAATTCATACCGTAATTTTCTGATACAAACTAGTGATATTTTCGTCATCGAATGGCAAAATTCCACACAACATAGCGTACAATATCACACCGCAACTCCAGACGTCAACTTCAGGGCCTGCATAATACTTGCGTTGAATTACTTCTGGAGCAGCGTAATTGGGGCTTCCACAGCTTGTTCTCAGAAAATGACCATCACGCATAATATTACTTAACCCAAAATCCGCAATCTTCACACTTCGCCTCTTCGCATGCAGTAGCAGATTTTCAGGCTTTAAGTCTCTATGTACAACCTTGTTCTTGTGACAATACTCCACACCTGCTATTATCTGCAAGATACTCCACAGAGAATGCCATTTTTGATGTCGGAATTGAAAATCTGGTTGTAGAAACAAGGAACCAGATCAAGGATGTTCAAATTAGACGCTATTGGTTTTGCATAAGAATAAATGGAATATTCTGAATTATAAACGTACAGTCATTATCTCCTACATGCAGGACCATAATGTACCCGGATTGGAAATCATACGCCTAATGTCCATCAACCAGATTGATCGAACAAATAACAGAAGGTCATTAGTACGAGCTTCAATCGTACCTGCTGGAAAAAATGACGAGCATCATCTTCATGCAGACGGCCATGAAGAACGATGAAGTCAAACAAATCTCCAGATTCAACATATTCCATGACCACGTATATGTCTGAACGGGTTTCAATAATCTCGTACAAGCGCACAATGTGGGGGTGCGTAACCATCTGCATAATCTTCAGCTCTCTCCTTACTGCAATACAGTGCACAATGAGGACAAATCCAGCGGATGCAGTCTAACAAGTACGCGAACGTAGGAGTACGTCGACCAAGAACAGAAAAGAAAAGATTAACTCAGGATGTGAGAAGGAGGCACACCTTTATCTTCCATGTCTTTCATCTTCTCTTTATTGATGATCTTGATGGCAACCTTCTGACCAGTGAGAACATGAGTTGCAGACTTGACTTTGCTGAAGGCACCAAATCCCATGGTTTTCCCCAAACGATAATTGAATTCGGCGCAAACAGTTGCGCTACTCTGCCGTCTCAGAACATGGCCAGTACTGCTGCTCTCTCCACCTGTCATTGTTCCTGTTTCCTTGTTCCCTTTCAAAAAGTCTGACGAGTGTTAGGGTTTGCTTTCCTTAAAAATTGCCGGAAACTGTGAAACTGAGGCCACAAATGATTCTGGGGCCAGTCACTAGCGCACCAACAATAGAAATAAATCCGCGACAAGTATGCCTGAGAAGAAAATCGAAGAAACTGTGCCACAGAAGGCAGCACTATGATTCGGTTTATTCAATTATATCAGATTCAGGTCCATAGAAAGGCAGGTGGACGATTGTAGCGCCTCGGATCACCATGTGAGGAGGAATCCGAGCATGAAGGTACAGAAGCCCTCTCGTTGATTGACCACCAAATACAAGCGCCATTCCTGTTAAGCTTATTTGTTTGCATGTAGACGGTGTGGTGGCCATATAGAACTGTGTTATCCACTACAAACTTCAAAATAGACCCGATTCCTCGGCAGCCAATTGAGATCACATCGGAGATGCACAACGATTCATCTCCCTCTCTCAGAGTAGTAGCAGGCATCAAATTGTCCTTTCCCGATACAACCCTAACTCCAACCAGCGTTCTTTCTGAAAAATATCAACCATGCACCACAACTGTCGAGAAGCTTCAACAACCATCTTAGGTCTATGAACCCCAAAGTTATCATCGGAAGTGGATTGGCAACATCAGAGAGTAATCAGTGTTTGCTGCCGTCGCCTGAGCTTGACCCAAAATCTACAATACCCAAGCGTCTCGGTTATTTCTGCTCATCGTGCACGTATGACGAAAAAATAAAAATACTCTAAATGCTTAGGACTTCTACAAAATCAGAAGAGCATGATGACACTGCACCGTTATGTTCACAGCTTCCCTAAACAATGTGGCCATTTCCGTCAATCAACCTTGGCATACTGCAAAAATTCAGTGGACTAGCGGAGATCATTGTGGAATGAAGTGCAATTACTGAGTTCAACAGAAATATTGCTGCGCAGAAATCAACGTCTATCACATACCCACCTAAGAGGTCGTCCACTTGCGATTGCAGAACGTAATGCAAGTTCCCTTTCCACAATGAAATCCAATGTTGTTAACACACAGAGCCGAAACCTGATGGAAGCCACTTAAACCGGGATTTTACTTCTCCATCAAGTCGAACATGTGAAAGTTTGTGATGAGTCAACTTTACTCCACCATTTGCAAAGAGGCATCTAGCGCGAACAATGCTCCGCAACCATGCAAACTTAGTCAGAAATTAGTTTCGTAATTTGCCAGCTCCAATCCTACAAATCGCCACAGAGAAACACAGCTGGGACTAATAATTATGCGGGCAAATGTAAGCGTCCATCCCCAGTCTAAAAGGACGCTCCCCTGCTTCAAATTAAAATTTTCGCGGCGACCAACGAAATAGTCCTAGACTTCAAATATAATTCAGTGCGCTTTTGCCAGCGACCAAGACTCATGCCACAATGCTAGTAGCTCTCCAGAGGAGACAGCGCCGAAAACTCCGCCACAGTATCTACGCACATGGAGTCGCCTTGTCTTGCAGAAGTTGTTCCAGGTGTAGTCGAGAGTATCTCCACGCAACAACTTGAGGTAGCATTCCACGTACACTGAGTGACTCCTCAAGACCTTCGGACCTTGAACTAAGGACCCTACATACAGGTTTTCTCGTTTTTTCAAACAGACAGCGTATTTTCGAAACATCAAAACGAAATTAGTTCAAATAACTTCGTAGTGCCTGAGTATTTGGACGCCCGACGAGTCATGGTCACCATCCCCATCTGAGGTCACAAAAAATCATGTCACACACATGAAACTTGTACAATCAACAGCCCAAACCTCCTCCATGCAAGCATCCAACAAACACCACACAAATTCGCAAGCTAGGAACTAAAATTAGAAAAAAATCGCAGTCTGCTGGTCAGCTTTTGAGGAGAATTCCTGCAAAAGGTCGCATGCACCCTGTTTAGTGCGTTGCGACTTCCAGGAACTGTAATTCCGCACAAATATCTTTCTTGGCAGGGGGAGAAAAAGGCAGGCCCAAATCATAATAATAATAATAATAATAATAACAACAACAAACAAGAAGGGAAGTTGGTGGCGAGGAAAATTGGAGACAGGGGGGGAATATCAAAGGACGTGTGTACTGTAGCAGACGGGGGGCTTTTGCATATGAATGGTGGGCAATCATTGCGCAGAGCCTAGAAGATGCGAGCAGCACGGGCCTCGAGAGTTAGAATAGGGCCTCATAGAGTACGTGAGGAGGACGAGGACGAGGGAGGAGCCGCAAATGACAAGCCACCCCCCCCCCTTTTGGGACCAGGGAAAGAAAGAAAGAGAAAAAAAAGGATCCGGGGGGGGGGGGGGGGCAGGCAGGGCTCTCATCCCCAGATGATGGCTCTGGCATTCATTCATTTATTCGTTCATGCAATATTTGCCATCGCTTCTTCGCCGCAATCTTCTTCTACACTCCTCCTCCACCGTAATAGTAACTTGGTTGTTGTTGTCGTTGCTGCTTCATCTGCTGCTGCTGCTGATTCTGCTACTACGTCGCCCCCCTTCTTCTCCTTGTCCTTGTACTTTGAGAGCTCTCAATCCCTGCCCGCACTTTATGTTTTTTTTGTTTGCCCCTTCCTTACCTTTGGCGCAGCAATGAAAAGCGTGGGGCTCGCAAAGCTGAGGCCCAAACTCATTGTGCGCCTGGCAGGCAGCAGTAATAAAGCTTTCCTTCCGTTGCTGAGCCTCCCTCCCCACTTCCCTCCACTCCCTCCCTTTCTCTTCTCTCTACTCTACTCCTTCCTTTTCCCTTCTCTTCCCTTCCCGTCCACTCATTGTTATTATTATTATTATTATTATTATAAATATGCACTCATCACTCAGTTGCTTCTGGTCTTCTTCCCTCCAATTCAGCCTCCTTTTTCAAACACAACACATACTCCACCATGGCATACCCCCCCCCCACCCTACCCTACATGTCAGAAAGGAAATAAACAACAGCCGGCAGCAGCTGCAACAATATATGGCTGGCTGGTTTGGCTGAGTGCCTTTGGAATAAAGAATTATGTATAATGTAATGTATATGAATGTGTGTGTGTATTCCACTGTGGAACAGTTGGTTAGTTCATGCTTGACTGAGAGAGAGAGAGAGAGAGCTGGACATTATGGTCAAGGACCATGCACTCACCCCCCCCCCTTTCAGAGAGAACTCATCCCCACATTGCATGCCCCTTTGTTTTTGTGTGTGTGTGTATATATATGTATATATATATATATGGTATGCATTCTCAAGTTCCTTCCAGGAGTTTTTTTATTTCAGAATTGTAATTTTTTTTATAATTCTTGAGGTGATTATCAATGTCATTTGGTCTCCTATGATTGTTATTCTAGATATCACCTTTTAATTCTTTATTTAACTTTTTTTCCTTTCATGGTATATACTTTATTATTTTATTATTTTGTTATTATATGAACTAAAGTACCTAGATATTTAATATATATGCATCCAATTTGTAGCCTTTCAAATTAAAGTGCAAATAGATGTGGGATTGATACCATTTTTCATTCTTATTTAAAGCATTCTTTATTTTTGGATATTTTTGGGAATATTCCATGAAAGAAAATCAAAATTAAAATTAAAATATGTGTATATATAAATATTTAAATTTTACATTTTACATTTAGAAAACTAATCTTGAATCTTTTCTATTAGACAATAATCAACATTTTTTGCCATTAAATTATATTCCAACTTATGCAAAGACCATATTTTGACAATACTATATTAATCACTACATGTACTTGAAAATGATAAAAAAATATGTTTTCTTGTATAAATTATAATATCTTTAGATCTGTGATTAATATGTTATTATCATATTTGTCCTATACATTGATTTAACATCTTGACGATTCTTAAATTTGCAAAAACTCACTACATGGAAGTTTAGATCACCATAATTTATAGAAATAGAAAAGAAAACATTATTTAGTAAGGTATATTAGACTACAATAAATACTCTATTATTAATCCTTGAATATATATATATATATATATATATATATATAAATAAAAATGTTAAAATGACCCACCCATTTACTAAATCAATCCACTTCATTGTGGCAAATGAGGGGGGTCAAGATGAGAGTTGGAAACAAGGGTGTCAAGATGACAACTGGAAATGGAGGGAGCATAGGTTGGGAATAAGAAGAGTCAAGTTGTGGGCCATGATTGTAATGATGGTTTCTAGACACAATTAATTTTTCTAGTGATGGGTATGATAGGATGGAATAATTTAGAACATGGATGGATCATTTTAATATTTTCCTATATATATATATATATATATATGTAAACCTATTTTTTCTATTGGTAAATTATAATACATAATATTTTATTTTATTTTATTTTTCTAAGATATCTATTTTTTTGTTATTTTTTTATTTATATTCATTTGTTAACTATGTTCTTATTATTATTATTATTATTATTTTTTATTGAGACTTATTTATTTTGTTGTTCTGGTATTAATCATGGACATTAGGTGTGCAAAACCAAATAGTATTTGCAAAAAAGCAAAACAAAACAAAAATATAAACAATAGTAGTAAAGAAGACGAAAAATTTCAACTTTCAGCTCTTAATTACTTTCACAAACCTAGGTTCCACCAAGCATTGAGTCTTCGTGGATGTAGCTAAGTAAGTATTCTAGAAATACATCACTTAGGTTCATCATTCTATTTTTTTGATTAACTTCTATTTTTGTGTAAGGGTTTATTAACAACCTTGTATATAATTATTGGTTTTTGTTTTCTCAATTGCAAGTAGCTTATGCTTATCCTTGTGTTTTATATAATGTTGTAAGCTTCACAAAATAAAGAAATAAATTTAGAAAAATTTCAACAAATCAAACAATTAAACAGTTAATAATTTTCAATAGCATATATGATAGCAACTGATTCACACAGTTATTTTGTTGTAGACCTAATTTTTCTTCTCATATTTTATTAATATCGGATGGAATAATAATCTAGTTTAACATTACATTGAGGTCAAATGAATACTAAGAGAATTGATTGATTTTTCAAAATTGGTTTTCATCAAAAACATGAAGGCTGGAATTTGTTTTTATATGTGACAGGGTTTCTTGTTTTAAAAAAAATCAAACATATTCACTGTGATTTCTTTTTATGTCTTTTCAACACTTCAAAATTATCTAATAAATTGGGATCATTTTGGAAAAGTTATACCAAACAATAACTTAGATACTGGAAGTCAATCGATCAGTAACCTTATGTTTGAAACTGTTGCTTATTCAATTCATATAAATTAGCTTTTTAGTATATAACCATTTTCTTACCCAAAAAAAAAAAAAAACCAATTTTTTACAATCATCCTTTAAATTATAGTTTCTTAAAGATACTAACCAACAAGGGAAAAAAATAATTTTACCCAAAAACACAATATTTTTTTTATTACACTATACAAACAAAATAAGTGTTCTTTTATTTATAAAAAGAAAATTTTATAATGGGTATTGCTCATGCCAGCAGTTCTTGTTGATTTTTAATGATTTTTTATTGTAAAAAAATACTTGTATTATAAAAAATTATTATTATTATTTTTTTGTTAAAATTAAACTTACTTTCTCTACAATTTGAAAAAAGAAAAAAGAAAAAAGAAAAAGAAAAAGAAAAAAGAAAAAAGAAAAAGAAAAAAGAAAAAGAAAAAAGAAAAAGAAAAAGAAAAAGAAATATATAATTTTTTATTGAAATTAAATCACAAAAAATGTATATTAAATCAATGATGAGTTATGGTGACAATAGCGAGAACTGTGATAGCATTAACAATATCCTACACATATGGCTAGTTAATGAAACCCATAAGAACGTTTTGAAATTGAAGGAACGGATAAAACTTTTACTACAAAATAAAACTATGAATATTCAAATGTTAAGAAATCCACGGAATGGAAACACACAATATTCGAATGTGAAGATTTCAACAGGGAGTTAGTCACCCATGACCGAGCCCCACCTATGAACAAGGCATCTTTCCATATAAAGAAATTTCGTAGTGTTGAAAGTTTTGCACAAAATTTCAAAAAGATCACTTATACCAAAGGTCAAATCTGAGGTGCTCATGCATATGCAAAAGGCACGGCATCTCAAATCCAACTCAGTCCGACCTAAAATGCATAGTTTAAAATGCTACTGAGGCCGGAAAAAGGATGTAAGAGAACATTGTGGTGGTGAAAAATACGCTGCATGCTCACTCGGAGCTTTTTAAGTATGAAGCCTCTGAATCCTCTCCTGGCGCACCATTCCCTTCTCTTGCTTGTCCCAGTGGGGAAGCCCCCGCTTGTGGACCTTCATTCCTTGTATTCAAGCTTGTTGGAGTCCCCTCCCGGGAATCTTCTGGTTTCCCATACTCGGAAACATTTCCTCCTGTCTGGTTGCCATTACCACCCATGGAACTATTCACCATGTGCATCCCCGAGTTTCCCTGGGAGACCATGCCTGGCTGCTGGTTGTGATACGACTGCTGCGACTGCGGTGATGGTGCGTTTTGTACTCCTTGTTGATTTTGCTGCAAGTACTGATTTCGTTGATTCATCATCATCTGCTGCTGCTGCTGCTGAATATATTGCTGTGATGGTTGCATTGGTTGTGCTGCTGGAACCTGCAAATGCCCATTGCATTGTTTAGTGATATCGAAAGTTAGAATCTAATTTGAAGGCTTGCCGAGAACTTCAACTCGAGGATGTCTAGGTTTAAGTCGCCGAATAGTAGATCAATAGGATTTGAATGTGATTTTTGGACAACACTACTATCTAATGCGTGCGCACAAGTGCGACAGACCATACTCAAACTATTCCCAACGACTGATGTGAAACCGAACAGGCCACCTCAGTAGAATTTTGGCTCACTTGGGGTTGTGCGTCTGCAATAGCTGCGAGGTACATAAGATTCTGCTGCAACTTTGCTTGATACCTGCACGTAGAACGTGTTAAGAACTGATATCCGGACTCCACTACAAGTCAACACAAATTTAATACCCTATACAGGATTATGCAGGGCAAGCAGATACATGTTGACAACGACTACAAGTACTGCATCGACGATCATGGTGACTACCAACGGAAATGCCCGAAAGTTGGTTCATTTGACATAGTTAACAAGAAATATAGACTCAGACTTTCAGAAAAATTTACCAAGCGATGGATGAATAGTCCCCGCATCGTAGCATCGTAATGCAGGTTTGCAACTATTCTACCAACTTTAAAATGTGACGAAAATTAGAAACGTACGTAGCACATTCGTTCAGCTTTCCAAGGTTTTGATTATCGAGAATTGCGAGAATCAGCTGCTTGTTCTCGTCCAGGTACTGCACGTCAATGAACAGAAAGGCAATCTCAACAAGGGTCAAAGTACGAAACCAAAAATCAAAGAATCCTGAAGTCGTCAAGTCAGAAAACTGAAATCAATTCAGCAGACTACCGACGATACTAACTGGTAGTAGGCAATACAGCAAAAACCACAGCTTCCATATATTTCACTGTTCATCCAGACCCATGATGTGTTTGAATCCTTCAGAGACATCACAGACAGCTATGAGGGCCCCCAAAGTGCATACAATCGAAACTCTAAAACCCTAAGCCCTATGTTTCAAGTTACTCATCAGTAAATGTCTCACAATTCCACACGAATTCCACCCCAATGGTGATTCAGGGTGGTATAGGAGGCAGTTTGGGTTCACAGAAGATCAACCACCAATGCAACTAAAAATGGTTGTTAACTTAGACAATCACTTGATTTCCTTCCCCTGTGAGAAGACACCACCGACTTGTGATAGAGGTTTTTCCTACACAGACGTGCCTATTCCGCAAAGAATGAACCAAACTCCCTCCTATTTCATAAGCGTGCATACGATGCATGCTAAAGTAAGTACTGCTATTGAAAATCACTAAAACATGAGTCATTGCTTTCTTTGAGAAATGCACATTCAAATGATTTGAGAAAAAGATCTCAGAAATATGTACCCACATAACCGAGAAACCCAAACATGCGACAGACCTTCTGGATGAGCTCAGTAGTGATAGATGTCCCCGCATACGGCGCCATTTGCTGCATGATTCTCAATTTTCAATACGAAAATGCACTTTTCTGCTCAAACGCGTCCGAAATTGCCCTCACTCCTCATCACTCGCACCAAAGACCCTTTCCAGACCCAGTATCCAACGACTCACAAACCCTAGCCCACAGACTGCGAAATGGCTCAGACCACTCCCAATCGATCTCAGTCTAAGGAGCACGACACACGGGAGACGCAACCTCCGATTCACGACTGCTCAACTGCTGCGGAGTCTTCTGAGAATGGCTTGGAGACACTGGGACACTGACTGCAAACGTGTGGGCTCGGATAGAGACAAGAAATTAGATAACCTGGACAGAGAGCGCAAAACTAGAGGGGAAACTGAATAGAGGAAGAGCACACGCCACGCTGCATCGGAAATTGCTCCGTGGTAACAGAAACGGGCGACTGATGCTGTGCACAGTCACTGCTAACCATTTGAGGAGCCTATGCCCGCAGGTCCAACAATACCAATCTAAGAAAATTTCCGGAACAGATGTTTGAATTGTGGCAGAAGGATAGATTGTGGAACAGAACAATAAAGTTACCGACAATAATAGTATAAATTTATCACTTTTCAGAAAGTAATTATTTCAGTTGTCATGTGCAAGGCACTAACAAATTCGTCGGTTTTATAAGCAGATCTCGAATGTGCTAATACTTACGCCATTACGTAATTGCTTCACAATTTCTACGTATTCATGGGCAAAGATACAGACTCTACTCTCAAATCTCCAAGGATAGAGAGTAAAGCCGCTTAAACAAGAGCGAATACAAACCTAAAAGAGATTTAATATACACATTGACAGAAGTTTGGACTTCAATCTACCCCAACAGAATCACCGTCCACACTTACATTTAATGGAAGACCACTCTAACTAAAACTGTCAGTAATTTCAGTGTAGTTCTATGATTTGTAAAAGTTACCTAAGGGTGACTAAACTTGTGCTGCAATGAAACTCAAGAGTGAATGACCAAAACAGAATAGCAGTAATTCATGAGACGGGGGGATGTATTTTTGTTACATCTCTGATTTCATGATGCATTCATGTACGTGACCTTTCATAATTCCTCCTTGTACCCTGATTCATATGCTGCTGGCAGCTGGTTAGACATGAAACCCCCTCATTTATGATTGAATTCTTTATTTGAAAGTTACTAATACGATTGTCGTTGGGTGCTTGAAATGGTACAGGTAACACACTACTATGTATTGTAGAAAATGTGTTTATCTTCTCCTGTGCCTCCCACGTCGTACAATTAATCTGTCTCCAACGAAAGTTTTGTTGCACTACGAGTCTCTCTTCAAAACTTTCAGATGCCCAATTCAAATTACGTGTTCTCGCATATTCTGGGTGGCTGGAGGAACTTGGGACCGAGATCAGATCGGTGCAAAAGTAGAACGCTCGCACTACTACATCCATAGTTAGAAAGGGACAACTCAGCGCGGTACACTATAAGACATTGAAAGAAGCACTACTTGATCCCACCATTGGCAATTGTCTGGACTTTACAAATGACCGAAGACGTAGTGAAAGGTACATTCTTGTACTGAGCAACCAGATCACTTCCGGTTTGAAGGTCAGGCTGCACGCTCTCCCATATCTTCTTCTTGGGGTTAACATCGTCGGGTTCACCAGGATAGCCTGGAAATGTGACTCTCTCACCAACGGCAGCACCTTCAGGAGGGGTGACTAGCTCAACCTCCGTATGGTCAGCATTAGAAGCAGCCAAGACCATTGCTTGAGACTTAATTCCTCTCATAGCTGCTGGCTTCAAGTTGCAGAGGACACACACTTCCCGATTCTGCACAAAACCTTCCATTTTTTAGGTTACCTGCGGAAGTAATCAGAAACATTCGCGAAATTTGGTTTACAAAAGTGTTGGTTACAGCACCTTCCAACTAAGTGCAGACCATATAAAACAATAAAGGCTAAAAAAAATCTATTGAGTTACCCCACAAATGGATTAGGCACTTTATTCAAGCTGATTACCTCATGTGTAAATACGATTGATATCTTGAATCCATATAGGTAAAATACATACCTGCATCTGTTCAAGAGGGATAAATTTAACGAGACCACTGACAACTGTCCTGGGAGTGGGTTCTCCAACATCGATTTGCTCCACATACAGAGAGTCGGCATCTGGATGTTTCTTCACGTCTGTGATGAGACCAACCCGTATATCAAGTCTCGAGACATCCAGGGGCAGCTCTTTAACCACAGCTGGCGTCTTCTTTCCTGTACCAGCACCTTTACTGCCCTTCTTTCCCTTAACTTCTTTCTCTGGTGCGGATATAGACAGAGCCTCTGTTGCAGACTGCAATGCTGCAGCTCGATCGGCTTGACTGCCAGAAAACTTCGCTCTGTAACCTTCCATTTCATCGTCTTTCTGAAATTACACAATACGCCCAGCTTTAGTTAGCTTTTCCACCAACAAGAAGCAACCTCAACATAGCAGCACATGTTAACCGCGAATATTTTGAGAAGAGCGGCAAACCTAAGTAAGAGTGATTATAGTAAAGTCAAACGTGAATGAGGTTTGAAGTTTTTCATCGTTACGACCGTCGAAGTTTGTCATGACCTGAACACAAGTATGATGGTAGGGCAACACATACCATTTCAGCAAATATAGGCTCTGGATTGCCGATAGTGTGCCCTGATTCGACCAACATCCAGGGCTTACAAGCTCGTTCCAGATCACCATCCTCATCCACAAGAGACAATGTTGATGCAGGAAGATTCAATTGAAGAAGAACCTGCAAAGGCATCACTACGGTTAAACCTGAAGACTAGTACATGAACCTGAACATACAGGAACTACAAGTTATCGTTAATGATACGAGTCTCCTTGTTCAGACCTTCTAATTTTCTCAGCGACTATCTGAAAAGCCCATTTGAAAACAGAAAACACAAAAATGATATGAGAGACTTTAAAGTCCAACATGCGGCTGAAAAGGATTGACATGAAGTCGTAAAATATAATATTCCCTACTACATTCATACCTTATGAGAGAATGAGGGCATAAAAGGCTCGAGCAGTATGGCCAAAAGATGGACCAAACCAATTGACGTCTTCAACAATATTGAGCATGCAGGTTTATCTTTCTTGTAAAGCTTCCAAAATTGACTTTCCTGTTGTAGACCAATGGTGTATACGCTAGCAAAACGATACTACTTCACTGAAGCTTATGCATTGGCAAACATATATTTGTACACAAAACTCCATACACGAAATAGCGAAGTAAATTGTTAGCACACCATCAAAGAATGCCAGGAGGCACTGAAACGATCTTATGAGTCGAATGACATATCTGCAAGTACAAGTTGCCATGACTGGATACTTCCATAGCAGCTTTTAGACCAGTCTTCAGCTTTACCGCCTCCATGCATTTAATATATTCATCAATTGTACCTTTGACCTTCAAAGCAAGTTTTTTGGTGAGTTCGTACTCCTCAGGGTTGCCAACTTCTGGAATAACTTTCCTGTAGCCGCCTTCCCTGCACACATATTCAACGGTCATCTGATTACTCACGATCTAGCTCAGGGTTCAGAACATACAGACGAATGCATGTTGCTCCAATATTGTTGGGAGATATTTGAGAATTTGCATATATATATACACACACACACACACAGCGTAAATTACCTTTGAAATATAAGTAGTTAAAGACGCAAAACCACCACTACGGATGCTAATGCCAGAAACAATCTTATAACTGACGAAGACTGATGAAATTTTAAACAAATGGCAATATACCAAGCCACAAATACTTTCAGACGCACATACACATACACATACACACACCACGAGAGAGAGAGACACGTGTATAGTCAAGAAGTTGGAGATTCAAACCTGATGGCTTCGCCAGAAAAGAAAGCGTCCGGTGAACAAAGTTGCCTAAATTCTTAAGTAACTCGTTGTTTTGTTTGGCTTGCAGATCCACCCATGTGAATAGTGTGTCGGACACCTGTAACGGTACATTTGTGGCCATGAACAATAGAAATAGGCAAAATATAAAACTCTCAAGGAACTTTTCAGAATGCACCAGAGTTCTATTACATAGTAAAGAAGAGGGCACCTCTGGCCGATTTATAAGAAGATAGTATCTCCAGACTTCGACGGGTATATTAGTGCTCTTCACATCATTGCCAAACACACCAACCCCGCGACTTTTAGAGAACTTGCCTGCAAAACAACAGGATCCACGAATGTATTTTAGTGCATGGCAGCTACTGCACTACAGAAGATACTATCAGCAGAATAAATAACTGAAACATTCTCAGTTCTTCAACACTAACATCAGTCTCTAACACAGCATTAACGCAAAGCATGCATTGTAAAACCCATCTGTCGCTACTAAAAATCAAGCTGCAGCCTCTATTTCATGAAAAAATGGCCATAGCGATGTGGCATGTACGGATTACAACAACAGCAGTTCAATAACAGATACATTTGCAATGTTATGATTGAGTTGCACGAGATTGGAGAAAGTTCGAGAAGAATGCTTACCTGACTCATAATTAAGATACTCCGTGACACTTATAGCCTTCATCAGGGTCCATGAGTCCTCTGTGCCCAAAAGCGTGCACGGAAAGATAACCTGAAAAAAAGTCGCGCAGCCATTAGTATTCCAAGCCACAGGTGGCAATAATAAAGTCCTGAAATCTCAGTCGAGGCCTTAATAACTATTGAAGCAAATATCGCAATTACAATGAAAAATTGATGTAAATACGTACTGAAACCGAGAAATCTTGCAAGAAACATGTGCCTTACTGTATGGAATGGCACGTTATCATTCCCCATGAATTGCACCAGTTCAACATCCTCGGGGGACTTTCAACATTTCTCCCATTCATTAGAATAATTAGCTGTGATTGATATGTAGCCAATAAGAGCATCAAACCACACATAAAATACCTGGCAAATTCCACAAAAAATTAGGAGTGTGATTCACAATTCACAACAGCTAATGACAACAAGTAGGTATTGCAAAAAATTGTTAAAAAAACTTTTTTAGAGATTGTACTCTTCGCTCTGATTTGAGGGGTCAATTAGACGCTATTTCTACTTCACAGTAAGGGTAAACTTTTCTCCCAAGTCCAAAAGGACAATTTCATTAAACCAATTAAGAAGTTGGGTGCCCTACACTAGTTTGGTATTCGGGAGGCAATGCAACTGAAATTTGTGAGACTGCTGAGTGTTATGAAAGACAACCTTCTGCTTATACTTCTCCAGTGGAACTGGGACACCCCATTTCAGATCTCGCGTGATACACCGCTCTTTCAACCCATCACGGATCCAAGCATTCGTTTGTTGGATAGAGTTAGAACTCCAGCCACCTGTTTTCAACGTATTAGTAATATATTGCTGTAATTGATCATTAAGACCAGGAAGATCAAGAAACAGATGATCCGTCGGACGCTTCTCTGGAGTGTTGCCACCCACCTACCATAAAATAGACACTAGGCATTATGAATTTATGTGCGTAGCAATAACATGATGCCAAAAAAAAAAAAAAACAAAAAAAAAAAAAGGAAAAAAAAAAGGATGTCAGTACACCACGTATCATTTTCCAGACATTATCACTTACTAATGCAATGCAAGAAACTCACCTTGCACCTAGGACTAATTAAGTCATCGGCATTGAGGAGCTTCCCACACAGATCACATTGATCCCCACGAGCATCTTCGTAACCACAGCCAGGTGTTGGACATGTACCCTCTACCAGCCTATCAGCCAAAAACCGGCTACAGGTAGTGCAGTATGGCTGTATCAATCCAAAGGAAACGTTAGTGAAGTTGGCATCAAAACTAGAGCAAATTAACCACGCTACAATCATAATTCCTTACTCAAGGAATAATCGACCACTTCTTGCAGAGCTGACTCTTTTTTTGGATCGTCTGTCGACTCTAGCTCAAAGCAATTAATTGACGATTCCCAAGATTCCTTCGGATGAAAGTGAGGATTTATCAGACTCTTACAGATTATATCATCGAGATAACGTAGCACAATATTAAGTGACATGGCATTCACGCTCTTTCAAACAAAGGAACCACTGCTGGGTACATAAAACTTCATGCCTTCGCCAATCTCTTTGCGACATTTAAAGCTAACTTCATGGCAGAACTTAAATATCAGTCGATCGCACCTGAATCATTGTATTCTCGTTCAATCGTTTCTTCTCATACAAGGACATGAAGATAGATTGCGCAATTTCAGTCTGCTGAGGAGTGGCCGTTCGCCCAAACTTATCAAAGTCAATATCAAACCATTCGTAAATGTCTTCATGAATAGCGTGATATCTGCAGCAGGAGCACACAGACTCAGAGAGTAGACCTGACAACCATAAAAATCCTGACGCCTCAGTACAATACTCAGGAAAACTCAGTCCGCATTGATTCGGCGAAGATGCGAGCACTAAGGTCCCAAATCAGCTCAAAATGCTTTTGACTTATCAAATTATGAACACCTCCACAGAATAGCGTTGAGCCTACTTGTCACAGATCTCCCGCGGAGTAAGGCCTTCCTCCATTGCCTTGGTCTTGGTAGCAGTCCCAAACTCATCAGTACCACACATGTAGACGACATTGTAACCCTGCCTCCGACAGTACCGGGCGTAAACGTCGGCACTCAACACACCTGCGAATTCATCATCTCAATCGACCACAAAAAAAACACAACGAAGCTAATTACTCTACTGCCATCAAACTCACAACCTTCACAATACCTCCCAATACCTCCAAAGCACCCCCCTGGATGTAAAATTACGTCCAAACCACAGCAACAGACGAGAAAACGCTATACAAACCGAGATGGAACACTCACATCCGATGATGTTTCACAGGTGCGGCACATTGTTCACGTAAGGCAGCGCGCTTGTGACCGGGACGTTACGCTTGCCGGGAATGGGCACCCTCACGGGACGCTGCTCCCGGGTAGCGTGAGTGCAGTCTCCGGGGTTGTTCACGTTTGCGAGCCTCGCTACTGACAACCAGCTATGGCGAGGAGGAGCTCAATTTGGTGCGAGAGACGACATAACGCGACACACTCGAGCAGAGTGAGATGGAGACGACGAGGTTTTGTTAACCTGTACCGAGGCTTTAGCTGGCCTTCAATTCCAAATGGAAGGTTGCTCCCTTCTTGTATGCAGGTGGAGTAAGTGATAACGTTGCTTTTGGAGTTTAATAAAATTTAGGGAAATGTTAAACACTAAATGTTAGAGGAATGTAATTGGTTTTTATTGGTTGCATATCTAATAGTTGGTTGAATCTAGAGGTCATTTTTACTTTCATGATAGTTAGGATAATAGTTGGTTGAATCTAGAGGTCATTTTTACTTTCATGATAGTTAAATAGGTAGATCATTTTCATGAAAACTTGGGTCTATTTAACATTGTCCAAAATTTATTGAATTTCCATATAGTTTCTTCTTTTGTTTACAGAAAAATAGGGTATATCCAATGCATTGATAGAATGAAATGTAGTACAAAAATTACTTCTGAACTTGTGATACAAATGAGGTATAGTTAAGAGAACTAAGTGAGATAAGTGCTAATGCTTTGTGAGTGTATTCATTTTTGTGTAATATCAAGCCACTTTGTAATATTCTAAAATTTCACTTAATTAAGTTATATATTTTGATTAGGAATTTAGCCATCTTGAACTTGTCTCACCTCATAAAGATAATAGTTTTGTATTTGGGATGCTTTTCTAATTTCCTCAACAAATTTGGTTGTATTCTATCAACCCCCTTAAAATTGTAATTCTTATATGAAAGTCATTCTATTTTTTCTTTTCAAGGATACATTTATTTCTTTGGTTTGAAATGGTCCATAGACAAAGTCCTCTTAGCAAGACCAAATCTTATATAGGCATTTAAAATCAAGGGAGATATTTTTTAACAGTTTGCTTATTAAAAGAATTTATTACAATACTTTATTTTTATTTTTATTGAAGATTATTTTAATTTTTTTTCTATAGAGTAAAAATTTATGAAATTATGGCTATTTATTATGTCAACTTGAAGATATTATAAATAAATCATTGTAGAGATGAAAGTTATCACTCAAAAAAACTTTTAGTTAAACTGTGTTTTAATTGTTGCCAGTATAAAACCATAGCTTTGCAAGAAAACAAAAACAAAAATCACAACACTAAAGAGTTTTCATTGTTCTATTTTGCTGAATGAATAATCATTTTACTTGTATAATTATCAAGTTTGAATTTGGTAAAAGAATTTGAGGATTAATCCTCAACAATTGTATTAATTTTGTTGGCTACCGTTATTTGAAGTATTTGATTTTATGTAACATATCAATAAACAAGTTTAGAAGAATACCAGTCTACTACAATGCCGATCTTGACTCTATAAACTACTTCAAAATATTACGTCATACAAAATATTCATTTAGATTAGATATAATTTAAATATAATTATGTCAACATAATTATAGATATTACAGTGTAACTGAAGTCGCAAGTGGAAATTTTATTGGTGACAACACACATTTTAATCCCCACTTCGTTAATAACACCATGGAACATTGCTCACATTATGTATGTCACCAATTACGCATCAGGGTTTACATATAATAATTTCAAGGACCACAATCTTGGCTTTTTCATGTGTTGCATGGCAGGAGCTAAATAGAATGTTGTGAGCAATTGCTTCCCAGTTCACCATGGTTTTAACCAATCAGCAAAGTCTTCAATTCCTAAAAAAGTCATACAAAGTTAATTTATTGTTAAAAATGGCATTGTTGATAAACGCATTTCTAATTGTGAACCGGTGGGGAAGTGAAGCCTGTCTATTACAGATATCAATGCAGCATTGATGGGCTCAAACTTGTGTGCTCAAGTTGCACCAGAAATTGCAAGGTTTTTCTAAATTTCTGCAAAATTGTGTATTTTTTTCAAATTGTATAGTGTGTTTCACCGAACACAATTTTAGTGGCTAAACCAACGGATATCCACAATTCATTCTGTGACTGTACAAAAAAATTTGCTCTGGCTTTGAAAGCGAAGGAGAAGGTGTTATTTCCGCCTGCACACAGTATCCTAAGAGTTTAAATTTGTGGACAAGGTTATCTCACGGCAAGTTACAATGTTGATCCTAAAGTCGCGTTAGCTACTGAGTAATCTTTGATGTCCTCAACTGCCTTCATTGTATCCCATCTCCCGGTCTCTGATGGCACTGTTGAGGAAAGACCACAAAATCATCGCGTTGTGTTGAAACATTTGACCTCAGAAGATACTCTCATTAATGTAGTCTACTGTAACTGCAGTCTACAATCAGCTTGAATTAAGCGAAAAAACAAATTATCTCAGCACATAATACCTCTTAGAAGTGGTTACATACAAGGTGTAGCAGACAGGACTTTGAAACATACCTGTGACTTAAACTCGAGAACCTGTACATACTCGCAAACACAAGCAAATGAAGAGCAATGGAGTAGAAAAAGATAAACGTTCGAGCATACCTGTGAAACAAGTTAAACTAGCATTAAACACATGTACAAGATTCAAAGAAGCGGCCTAGCTTGAAGTTCACAGGAACAAAGCAGGGGAAGGGGTAGATATTTACTTGTTGCCAAGAAGAAATCGACCACTAGTGAGTGTGATTTTGTCTCGAAGACCAAGCTCCCTGTACCTTCGATCTTTTTCCTGCATGATCATGGAAATGGAAACATGGAATCAGTGTCTATGGTTGCATGGTCGAATCTGCTGCTTGTTAAATGCCAGAACAACTACACTTTATAAGACCAAGTAAAGCTGACTAACAGTACACTCAACAATGTACGAACACAACTAACAAATTTTATACGACCAAGACCATTAAAAAAATGAGACGCAAAGAGGAGTAAGAAATGTGCTGTAAACAAAACCAATGCTGATAGACGGTCTGATTCTGCGCATTGCGAAAAGAATAACAACCTTCTTTGAAAAAGCAGTAAACGGATTAATATCATCTTCATACATCTTCTTGTATCTGCTCTCTACATCACCCCCCATTCCTGATTCCAAATCCTCCCCGCGCTGGTGATCAGACACAAAGTTGATGACTTAAGAAATTAATAAACTGTTGCCATTCGGTGCTTAGTAACAGTTATGGAACCAAAAGGCTATTTCTCAATGTTGTAAAGAAAATTTTGTGCATAACACACAATAATGAACGAACAGAGAATAAATCTACTCACAAGTTTGCATTGCCTAAAGAATTTTTGTACCTTTACCCACCATTTGTAATGGAGTAAATACAGGAAATCAGCATGGGGAATACCTTCTTATTTCGGGAAACAGGTCCTTCTTTAGTATAATCCTGAACAAAACGCATCTTCTCATAAAGCTTCACATTATCAGCTTTACTCCGCTCAACGTCTGCTGTCAATAGTTGGCACCTATCCCTTGATGCCCGTAGCTCCTGCAAAATTATGCACCCATTTTCAATGCCCTGTAAAACTGACGATTATAGAGAAAAGGTGGCATTCTAAAAGATTGGATCCATAAGATATGAGAACAAATCGTCGATTCAGCTCTTTATCATGTAAAAATATTCAATATAAATTAATTGAGACAGTCTACTATCGTGCTTAGACAGGGAGGGAAATTATAACATAAGCTCACTTCTTCAGTAACTCGCAGGCGTTGCCTAAATCGATCACGCTGGCTACAAATGACTTGCAACATAGAATTCCGGTCTTCACCACCTACTCCCTTAGAACTTTCATGTTGCTGCATGTCCCCATCAGGCACCAAATATGTATTAGGAGAAAAAAAAAACACTCCAGGTCAACATAAGTGATAGAAATATTAGAATGCTAATGTTGAGAATTCATTTAGGCAAACGCATTTTGGAAAAGTCTCGTGCAGTGTTCGACAACAATCTAGCTGTAAATTCAACACAGAGAATACCAAGCCTCGTTGCTAAAAAAGCATGTACAAGCTTAAAACTTAATACCAATCGAGATCAGGTACCTCTGATGAGTCATTAATACCCGAGTCCGGTAAGTCCCAGTCATCTGAATGTTTGGTAGGCCGACGGTCGTGTGAAGGTCCATAGCCCTACATCCAGTAACCACCACATCAAACAACACTCACTCTCATGCACTTAATCCAATCCCGTGTAGGACCACTTAATTTATTGATACAAGCACCTAGAGAAATAAGATATTTGAACCATTCTGAAGGCATAATCACGGGAATGCAACCTTCACGATATCCTCCTCCAATTTCACAATTAACGCCTTATGTTTTGTCACTTGAGCCTCCAATTCTCTGACTTTTTCAACAGCAGCTAATGCTGCCTCTGTCCTCTCTGACAATTGAACCTATCAGATTATCCAACACAGAAATGATGATTAGGATTCAGAAAATGTGCAGTTAATCAAATAAAATCGACGCGAAAAAGACTCAGAACATTTGGATCACTTACGGAGACAGAACATTATTTGCTACAAGGGTTAACAGTAGGCAAATCAAAACACATCAAACCGTCTAGTGAAGGAAGATTGGGGTTCACCCAACCTACCAGATTTGAAAAACACTAGAAACTGAAGACGCCTAAGCATTCTTACACTTAGACTCACCTTAAATTGGGTAAGTTCATGTTCCATTTTGCGATTTTTATCAAGTAGCAATGTCTCGAGTTTTCCAATATCCTCCCCACGTGTAGCGATTTCCCAGTCTTCAGCTTCCACAGAGTTGTAACCTACCGCCTGCATCAACAAAATGCATCACCTACCACATTAAAATAACAGTAGCGTATGATTCAAAACTGCTGCTGAGGATGCGTTGTGTTCCCCCCAAAACACATTTGGACAAAAACAGTACAAAGGTGGGGTTCACGTACACTATCAGAAACTTAGCGTTCGACGTGATGACAATCATGCTTACAATCGCAATAATAGAATTATCGAAAATGACCGGTTCATAACACAAAAAACCAAAGAATAAACTACAAAATTACGGGAAATCACATGCGAGGACTAGGTTGGCACCTGCAGAATTTTAACTTGTTTGCGCAAGTCCTCTACTTGTTTAGGGGTGGGCCGTTCACTGAGTTCTTTCTGCAGAACTTGAAGAACCAAGTCCTGTCTCACAAAATTGTCAATTTATCAAGTTCAAATACAGGACGTCTCTCAACGTATTTTTTCAATCAAATGCTTGACAATTACAGGTATCACAATTTCACAAAGTACGCTATGGATGAAGACCAGATCAAGCGTGAAGACGAATAGTGAAGCTTCCCTTACCTTCTCGTTAAGAAGAGCATTTAGTCTTTTCACTTCAACAAGATGCTGTTCACGTTCGTTGCTCAGAGTGCTTTCAATCGTGTGCAACTCATAATGTAGCTCAGAGATTATCTTTTCCTTCGCTTTCAAAGAAACCTCTAGATTGCTACTAGCCTCCTCGTTCAGCCTGTGAATAAGGGAATAGGAATCAAGAAAAAGCAATTTCTGTCAACATTTGAGAAAGGAACCGGGAAATAACGGTCGAAGGAAACAATCACGAAGCAACATTTCCCAACTTGTAGTTGTGACATCGAAAATTGAAGAACTAGACGCGAACACTTTGCGTACAGAAGTGGTATTTGTGACATGATTGAGAAGCACTTGTGAAAGAGAAACAAAATTTAATTGAATAAATAACATGGGAAGATGTAAAAAATGCTACTTGAAAATTTACCGCTCCTGAAGATGGACCTCTTGATTGTTTACTGCTTGCAGTTCTGATCGCAATTGTTCCTGCCATTTCAACAAAAGGATGCCAGAACACTACACATATTTATTGAAACTCTTCAGTAAAGATTGAGATTACAGCACTGCTATAATTAACTTACTTTAAAATTCACATTCTTAAGTAATAGCTGTAATGGAAATTGAGAATGTACCTTTTCTCTCTCTAGACTCAAGAGCCGAGCCTGAGAACGATCCACTTCATCTGTCAGAAGATTCAGCTCCGACTGTTTGGCTGCACTTACCTCCTCTGCAAAAGATACAATTCCCAAACTATTGGCAAAACATTCCAGAATGACACCATAGAGAGAAATCTCATTAAAACGTCAAGGTGGACTGAAAATGAAGACTAGCTTGTGACTTTACCGGATTGGGCATGTAGATTAAACAGCTGGGTCTGCCCATACTCGTGAAGTCTTTGCATATTTTGCACACTCTCTTTGGCTGCCCGTAGCTGATTTTGTAGAAAAGCCTCCCTGAACCATGGATATCATCAAGTTTGAATGCTATGGCTGATTCCAATGTACTGGAGAAGCTATCAAATACCACAAGTATTATTGTGCGTTTGATAAAAACAGAATGTGGTGCTTGCGACAAGGCACAAAGCTCATTGTTTTACCTCTCTCTGATAATTTCAATGTTCTTCTGATTTTCTTCTGCGAGACTACGCTGCTTCATCTCAACTATCTCCTTAACTTTCTCCTCCATCTACGATTGAAAAGATGCAAATCAGTGTTACGGTTTAAGAAATATCTTCTATCAAAATTTATATCCTGAAAAAATCAAGAAATGTCGCACAAATCCGTTCTGTCAAAAAGGGTTAGGCATAAAGCATGCGATTTCAAAAAGATTGGAAAAGAAGTCAACAATGAAAAGATGATTGGCATTCAAGAAGCCATAAATTAACCTGTTGTTCCAGCAAACGATTTCGCTCTTCCAGACGTCGCACTGTAGCTTGTTGGTTCCTGAGGTGGGCTGCTTCAGAGCGATACTCCTCAAGCTCTTGCTTCATCTTTCGGTAATCTGAGTCAAGCTCCGCCAATCTCGTTGCTAGTTCCTAAACCACCAGCCCTTACAATTAGAAATTGTCAACACGGATCGAAGTTCATAACTTGAAGTGCTCAACATATCACACAACACTTGCTGCGATACCAACTTTTGGGGTGTAGGTCCTGTTCTTATCACTTCTCCATAACATTAGTAATAGAAACAATCTCGATAGCAACCACTTAGGCATAAAATTGGAAATATTTTGAACAAAAATAACTACTCCTAGTCCAAAATGCTGCTTGTGCATTCATTTGTGAGTGCAAAAGCTAATACACTTTTTACAAATCCTATAGGTTGGTTACTCATAAACTCGAAATTCGAGCATTGAGTTACTTGTCAGTCTGAGGAGCCAACAACGTGAAAGGAAAGAGGAATGGCTGCTTACAGCGCCAGAAGAAAGGGCGGGAACAGGATCAGGAGCCTCATAGAGCTTCTGATACACGTTGAGGAAAGCATTTTCTCCAAATTTTGCTCTTTTTGTAAGATTGTCCACCTCCTCCTGATATCCCTTTAATAAAGCTGGAAAAGCCTTGGCCTTCTCTTCATTGGACGCCTTCTTGAAATCTTGTTCAAACAGAAAAATACTGTGAAGACTGTTTAACAAAAAAACCTGGACAAATGGCAAAGCTAAAGCAGCTGGCACTGGAAAAGTAAAAAAACAGTTTACCCCGAGTACTCTCGGCAAGCTTGCGGCGATTTTTGAGGCTGTTCTCTTGGTTATCACCGATCCTCAGTCCTTGGTCATCCAACTCTGCCCTCCATTTCTCTAAATCCAAATCTGAAACATTGATTCGAAGAAAAACTTAGTTAATTAATCTTCTTAGACCAAAACACTGAAGCCTAAAGTCAGGAATACGGTGGGATCAGAGGACGAGGATTTGTTTCCCAGTAATTGTCGATTTCGCTTCTTGATCAATCAATGCTGAAAGATTCGGAAATTATTTTAAAAAGAAATTGATCAATTGATATTCCATGCAGAGTATGTTCCTAATCACACTAGAGTGTACTTGATCATCATTGCATGCAACAGATCATTGTACTAAATCAGAGTGGCAATACCATAATCTCTGAAGGTTATAAACACTCGATAAAAAAGTCAGACATGATACACAATGAAATTCGAGAGGAAAACGAACGCAGTGGGGTCCGTCTGGTCTAGATTTCAATCTGAACATAAAACCGATTTCTAGAATGAGATTAATGAATAAGTTAAACGAAATAGAAAGGAGGAAAAAAAGAAACTTCGTCCAAACCACTAGATCAGGAAGCCTTCACCAAGTTGGAAAATTGGTTCACTGAACCGGAAAAAGTTAGACATCAAATCCAAAGCATTTCTAGTGAGAACATCCGCTTCGGTCTGACTGGTGACGTATTGTGATTCTCAATGGCATTTCTTTCAAATTTTAGGTAGTGTTGCCATCTTTATTCCGATTCCCAGCCCTAATCTATTTTACTCTACTGTAATCAGTTTCCAGTTCAGCCAACTGAAAAAAATAAATAAAATTTAATTGCAACGCAGCAAAATCACATTTCAACAAAAAGTTTCGAACCTCACCTCTCCAGAATGTGAGCACGAGTAACATGGGAGAAGAGGAGTTAAACGCGGGTATCGCTTGCCGCTGTGTGGTTTCTTTATCCACACCGCCATCGCTCACACCTCCGTCGGATCCCATATTGCACCTCAAATAGAGAACACTCTTCTCATGCCCCTTTGCAGGTCGACTACAAGCCGATCCAACAGGCTCTCCGACTACTTCAGCTCCAGATTTTAAGAATTTTATCTAATTCCGATCTGGTTGAAACCTTAAAAACTAGAGGTGTGCTTGAATTTTAACTCTGCAGTTCACGCTGTCCTTTTTTCCGATCAAACCAAATGAACTACCTTAAAAAATCCTGTACCTGTCGAAATGAACAGATAGAAAAGAAGAAAGAAAGGAGGAAAAAAAAAAAAAAAAAAAAAAAAAAAAAAACTGACGAATGGCTATCTCTAACATCTAAAGTATACAAGAAACTCAACCCCAGATCAATCAATGGGATCGAAAGACCAAATAACAAGCGGTAGATGCACGCAAAAGAGTGTGCACACACCGCCAGCTTCACGCCCTAAGAAGATCACCAGAAAAAACTAAACCAAAATGTCCAGATGAAAGCGTGTAAGCACGACGAAGCTTTTCAATTCACTCGCGAACTCCACGGCAAGCAGATCGCGGCAAACAAGATCATTAAGTAAGTCACCGATGGACGTACACTGGACGCAATTGCGCACGGAATAACGTGAAAATTTGTGATTCATAATAAGTACAGCACTCAGAAGCAAAAATGCAAAAGAATGCAACAATATCGACACCCGATCGGGCACGGCGATGGCGTTCGTGGAAGCAACAGCAGGAACAAGACTAATGCAGCGCCGTGCCACAAGACGGAGGCGCGTTCGAAAACAAAGGGTTATTGCATCACAGAGGGCGCGAGAGAGACAACGTGCCGACCAATGAATGACGTTTTGTGTTCGTCACATTTGTTCATTCGTTGCGTGTCTATTTTGGATGAGAACCCCAGAGGGATCTCGGAGTCCCACACCCTGCCCTGGTTCTTAACATATTGGATGAAAATGGGTAATGGATGGGAGTCATTCGTTGATCAGTTTTACATTCAGACTTTTGGCTTGCTTTTGATGGGATCAATTTTATTGTTATTAAATATAATGATCGAACTTCATAAGTTGGGTATGAAATTTTCCAATAGTGGAGTCTTCACTGTTATTATTATGATTAATATTATGCACCAAAATTCCTCTTCAATAATTAAAGGCAATTACAAAAAATGAAATCTAAACATTCAGAGTTATATTTAATGGTAAGATACGTTTACTATTTTTAACTTTAATTAACTCATAATATCTATTATTATTTCAAAAATAATGTTTTTTTTGAACTTGATTATTTTTGTATAATAAAGCTTCTCAATTTACATGTTGAACTTGAAATCAGTAAACCTATGTATTAACCAATTTATACTTGAAGTAGAGATTAAAATGAAAAAACGTTTTAATGTTTTGATTTTTTATAAAACATGATTTGATTTCAAATAAATATCACAACATAAATTATTTACTATTTTATTCATATATTAATTTTCTTAAGTAATGTATTTGTTTTGTAAATATCTAGGATAGTTAGAAAATCAGAAAATTAAATGCAATCAGAATATGCCTTTTTTTCTTTCTTTTTTTTTTGCATCAGTAAATAAAATGTAGTTTTATAATAAATTGTCATTACTCATGAATAACAAATTATGACATCTTTAATTTACATCTCATGTTTAAGTAATAATATACATATTATATGCCATGCACTTAAAAAATCTGCTAAACTCACAACTTATATCAACATTCTAACAAAATAAGATCTCATGAAATAAAGTTGGAAGGTTATTGCAAGAGAAGATAAAGTATTACTTTCATGCTACAACAAAATTTGATTACAATATTTTTAGGTTGCATGACATTGATAACTATATTGGCATAGCAAATTGATGTAAATTTTGCCATTTATATGCTTTTAGGTTCTCTTGCCAATTGCAATTGGTTTGAAAAATGTTGTGTTGCAAATTAGTTCCCTAAATTACACAGTTTTTGTGTGCTTACAGCTTTGGTGCCAGCCTATATTAATCCAAAGAAAGTATAATAAATTTTTGGGTTTTTGAGTCAAAGACCATCCATTTTTTTATATTATATTATTAAAACTGAACAGTCAATGCATTTCCTTACAAGCACAAGGGAAAATTCACTTTCATTCTTATAAATTTTCATTTTCATTTTTTTTTTTTTTTAAAATTCTAAATGTCCCTTTCTTTACTCCATGATTTTTTTGCTTGAACTTGAAGTTAATTTTGGGCAATGAGACTAGATGTATAGAAAAAGCAAGAGCAATGGCACCCACATCATGTATTTAGCAATTTCCATTAAGAAAATACAAAACAAGACTTGCCATCTCATGGTCAAAGGTCAAACTAGTTTTTTTCATAACACTTGCCTTGTACTATTAAAAAAACCAATCATTGTCACAAAGTGTATTAATGTACTTGCAAAAGAGGGTCTTATAAATGAATATAAGAAAACTATTGCTAGAACACGTAAATCTAACATGTTCCCTTTACAAAACTTTATCACAACATTTTTACATTGCTTGACAATGGTAATCCTTTTTGAGTACCATATAAATGCAAAGATTGTCATGTATTTGCTAAATTTGGACTTCAAATACAAATTACAAGCTACATAAAATGGATAATGAAAAATAGAAGTTGTAAGTTTGTTAAAAATAATCCTTACAGAAAACTTTGTTGGCTTTACAACTCAAAGCTATGACATATCATACTTTGCCAAGCTCTAGTGCTTGGCATAGGGTGTTTGTATTGGTGAAGTTATTTTATATGATTCTACTTTGTTTCTTATTATGTTGTTAGCTCAACTTATTCCTAGAAAAAAACAATGTAGTGTTTGTATATGTAGTGATTGTATATGTCTACAAGAAGATTAAATGAAGTTATTTAACTAAAAATTAACATTTGGTGGGTTTATATAACATAATCAAATATGATTTCAAATATTATTAATAAATTTTAAACGATTTTATTTTAACAATAATAATAATTATTTTCTAATGACCATTTCGTAAAACCTTATTTCTTTTTAAAGGACAAATATTTCTTCTTAGTCTGACATGTGGCACTAATGAAAACATATTGAAGGCCATTCATACATCAATTGAATCCAACAACATAATTCCAAGTGTGTGTACTTTTTATATTGTGTAATTTAGAGATATCATTTTAAAGATAATTATAAAATTCTATATTAATATAAATTTTTGAAACACAATGTTTGGTAATATTTTTGTTAAGCACTATTAGTTTTGAGTAATCTCTTTGATAACAGTAATTATCCTCTACATGCTTTGGATTTGTATTTTATACAACAAATAATTTTAAAATTATAATACCATTTTTTAAAATTAAATAAAAAATTTAGAAATTTTAAAAAACAATCGACCTATTTACTAAATTAATCCATCCTATCATAGGAAATAGAGGAGAATGAAGGAATAAGAATGAGAGATGAGAACAAAGAAAGAGGAATAAGGAAGTCAAGATGAAGAAGGTTGGAGGAGAGTGAGTAAAGGCTTAAAACAAGGGAGGTTGGGATAAGAGATATGATTGTAATGATGGTTTCTAGAGATGATCCATTTTTCTAATGATGGTTACAACAAGGAGGGTTGATTTATTCAATAGATAAATCATTTTAACATTTTCTTAATTTATAGAACATAAATATTGTTTTAATGAATTGAATAAAATAGATAAATTTCAATCCTTGATATAGATGGATATTCAAAAATTAAAATATAATAAAACAAATAAACACCATAAATTTTTTAAAAATATAAAAAAAATAAATAAAAAATAATAACAAATTATACAAAATAATAAATTATATGCTTTTATTTCTTAAAGAATCAAATTTGACAACAATACATGTCATAAAAATGATCTAAATTTTATCCAAACAACAAGAAAAAAAATGTAAAGTTGATATATTTTGATTATTAGAATAAAATAAATATATATATATATATATATATGTGTGTGTGTGTGTGTGTGTGTATGTGTGTATATACTGCACATAAGTAAAAAAGTTTTGCAAGAAATTTATACCCAATTTTTGCAAGAAAATCATATTTCTTTTTACTTTTGTAGTCAAATTTTTTATATACAACTAAAAGCAAGACAAGGACAAGAAAGTAAAAAAAGTTTATATAATATTCTGTTTTTGTTTTTGTAATTGGTGTTGTTGTTGTTCTTGTTGTTTTCATTTTTTTTTTATTTTTTTACAAAGTTATGACAGATAATATTTTAATCTTCTTATATCACATAAATTTCCAATTCAAGTTCTTTAAACAAAAGACAATTTTTAAGTAATACATATAATGTTTTTAAATAGAAGAAAAGATAATGATGAAAATTGTTAAATTGACATCCAAATTACAAAGGAATTTGTTAGAAAATGACAAAATAAGATGACTCATTCAATAAATAATATTCTCATCAAACATCAATAATATATATATATATATCTAGTGATAAAAATTATTTTTAAGGCATGTTTATATTTTTTAGGAAATAACATATATTCAACTATTTTATGTTGTACAAAGTTATAAACAAAATCTAAGGTAGATGCTTAGATAGAAAAAAAATATATATATATATATATATATATTTGAATACAAAAGAACAAATTAAGTGTTATTTTGCATAGATGCATATTAATAAGAGCTTGTGCAATTAGAAAAAAAATAAATTCATAAGTTTTTGATATATATATATATATATAAAAATTAATTTTCAATTATTTGAAGTAAATGTAATACTTTATAGAGAATTAGAGGATTAAATAATGTAAATATTAGTTTTTCTACTATTTTAAATTAATTTAGAATAAGAATAACAAAATTTTAATATCTGTTAACAACCATGCTTTTGATTTGAGACTAAAGAATGCAAGTTTGTCTAGTTTAACATGCATCTTGATTGAATTGGTCTATTGTGCAATGAATAGCAATAAATTTTAACAAAAAATAATACTCAATAATATTCTCTTGTAAGTAAGATAAAAATGGCTTGTAAAGTAATACTGAATAAAAATGATATTTTTTAAATTCAAGATTTGAAAAAACAGTAGTTATATATATATATATATATATATATATAATTTTAATCTTATGCATAGATATGTACAAAACTTGTTTTAGATTTATGTTAGAAATAATATCAAGTGAAGACACACATAATGAAGTTAAACAACAAAATTAATAATGGATAAATTGTTGATCTAGAAGATGCCTAATATAATTCAGTTTTAAGATTATATTAAATATGCAACAATAAAGTATTTATTGTATTCAAATGAAAGAACTCACATGCATGTGTTAATATAAAAAAATAAAAATAATAAAAAATTAATGATACACCATTGTAATATTAAAATGTTTAGAAGTTGTTACTCAAACAATTTAAGGTGAATATTGGAAATATTTCTTTTTTTATAGAATTATAAATATTCTTTTTTATAATTCTAAAATAAGCGAAATAAAATTTAATTAATTTATATATAAATAAACTGCACAAATATAAAATTTATGATTTAAAATAATATATATTTGTATTTCTAATGTACAACACAAATAAACATTCACTACTTTAATCCAACCTCAAGCTTTAACACTTCACAAAAATTTTAAATACTATTATGATATATTAATGTTTTTAGAATAATCTTTGTCTTGTTGTTATAATTCCTAAAAATTAATAAAGATTTGATAATTACAAATAACTCTAAGAATTAATATATAATATTATAATACTATTTTTTATTTATTCATTTAAAAAAATATATTTCTAACATCAAAGGCATGATCCACAAAATAAATAAATAAATAAATAAATGACAAGAAACTTTTTTATCACTTAAAAAAATAATAATAATAAAATTAAAAAAATAATATAAGATTGAAATGAGAATGTTTTTCTCAAATGCAAAAGTATAAAAAAGTCTTGAAACAAGATAAAATACAAGCATTGCTAAGAGTGAGGAAGGTCTCACTCTTACCTCCACATACAATATTTACTAAAGAACTATGTATCAATATACTATAGGCCATATGACATGTATTTAACTTGCAAGACATGTATCTAATATTTAAGAGAAGTTTTAAATATGTGCATCACATGACCAATTAGTTATATAAGTAGCCAAATGTGTAAAATGAGACTAATTTATTTGCAAATTGTCTACTTATTAATCACTTATGAACACATGTAAAGTCTATATAACTTCTAAAAAGCTTCCTAAAAATACATCAGCAATTTAAGCTACTTATATTTACTTCCATTAAGTTTTACTTTTCTAAGTAAATATATTAGTGAATATGGCTACCTATTACAACTAGATATTATTTTAAAATATTAATCTTGAAAATAAAAAATTGCTTTAAGAAAAAAAACATATAAATTCATATTTATAATTTTTATGCTTTGAAGTATAAATGATAAACTTATATTAAAAATATATTCCAATCTCACTGAACAATGCTCTTTGATTTTGATGTATTGAATACAAATTACATATGATTAATGTGACCATAATTATAATACTATTTTTTGTGTGTATAATTTAATATCTTTATATTTTCTTAGAAATTAAATAAATATATGTATACTTACCATATGGAATACAAATTTGATATGTAATTTCTATCTTAGTATATGGTGATAAATTATAAAATCAATGTCGGTATAGTATGTTTATGAATACATTAATACAATTGTACTAATATACATACATACACACACACACACACACACATATATATATATATATATATATCTATATATATATAATTTAAGTTTACAAAAATAATTATATTAATTTATTATACACAACAGATTTATATATATATATATATATATATATATATATTTATTAAATCATCTTCATACGTTTTTTACAATTTGGAAATTATAATGCATTATAAGTTTAAATACTTCAACACTTTTCAGTTTTTATTCAAATGTATCTTTAGTAGTAAAACTCTCTTTTTTAATTTGAAAAAACCAAATTGGTCAAAATTAAATGTTTGATTGATGCATGATGATAATGAATGTTTATTAAAATTGGATGATCACTTTGTTGGTATTGTTTGTAACTGTGGCAGTCAATCTGATTGGTTATTTATTTATTTATTTATTTATTTATTTATCTTCTTCTTTTTCTTTTCTTCTTGCAATAAACATTGATATAAACTAGTTTTAAAGAATCCATCATTGTTACTAAATTTATTTTTTACAAATAAAATAAAAATAAATGTTACAACTAATAAATAAAACTTTATATATAAATTATTTGGATAATTTTGTAAAATAGGTACCCAAGTCACCCTCTATTTTTTTTATTTCACTTGTGCATCATCCATACGTGTATTTATATATACATGGATATTTGGTAGCTGCTTTGGATTTTGTAAACGACTCAATGATAGCCAATTGATTGATCGAAGTTTCTAAAATAATGGTAGGGAGAGTATATTTTAAAAAAACTAGAGATTTGTTTTCAAAAGAAAATCAAAATTAAAATACCAAATCATTTATAAACAATTAGATAAAATTAAGAAAATAGGATTTATTATAATGCATAGGTACAAAGAGCAATTTAATTTTTCTATCTATCTAATAACAAAGTATTGATTGGATAACTATTTTTCCACAACCATATGTGGACTCCTTGCAAAAGTAACTTGTAGGTAGAGTAATAAGTATTGTGAAAGAAATATTTGTTTGAGAACTTGTTACATATTACTTCATGTTTTTCATAAAATTTCTAATCCAAAAAACATATAGTAACACACAAATTCACGACCTAAGAAAATATAACCACTCTCCATGAACCTAAGAAATCCAATTCTAAGGAGAGATACTAATCATTTATGATTTAAATTAGTCTTAATGTTGAAATACCTTACACCATGTTATACTTGTGAACCAACCCATAGACCTTATCTCAACCATCCTTGCACAAACCACAAATCAACTATTCTTCATGTAGAAAGATGCCAAGTCTATTCTAAGCCCACCAATGATTAGCAAACTTTACAAAGATGAACAGTGTGGTTTTTTGTGATGGAAATGGACGGTTTTGCTCAAGTCTATGTCTTGGTTTAGTGATCAAATACAAACAATTGCTTTGTTAATTTATATCAATTCAACTGCTATGGCAATTCATTTAATTTGATTTGATTTGATTTTTTTTTGATTTTTTTTTTGAAACACATCAGAACTTTATTTCTCCATCTCCAAAAAAAAAAAAAATAAATAAATAAAGGAAAAAATAAAGAACTCTCCCCCCCCGGGATAGCTGAAAAACCTTAAGTTAATGATTTAAAATATTTAAAGTTTCAAAAAGAAAAGAAAGGAAAATAAAAAAAGGGAAGAAACGCAGCAAAGAATATGCCAAACATGCATCAAATGCTCACAAGGGAGCGGATGAAAATGTGAGAAGACGAATGAATTGAAGGTGGGAATGAGTGAAGATGAATGTTGCAATGGATGGCTACGAACGGATGAAAAGTGGCTGGGTCGACATTTCCGAGGCGGGCCAACAAAATTTTCGAATGGGGAAGCCGCCGCTGCCGCACACTCGCACCGTGGCGTCCGATTCGCTCAATGCTCACAGCAATTTATGGGTCACTGGAAAAATGCTTCTTCACTTGATCTCTCGGCAAATCCGACATAAATTCCCCGCCACACCCAGTTACTCGGTTGTCACGGTGGAAAGGACCCATCCCCGCTGGAACGGAAGCAAAAATAAACCAATAGAGCCCGGGTCGTGGAAGAGGGCCAATGAGGGGCCGCAGTCTCGCCTGGTGGCTCTGGAGATATCTGCCTTATCCTCGCCCATCCTATCCCCACGAGCTCCCCACATTCAATCAGCCCTTGCCGAAATCTCTCAGTTGCCGTTCCCGCAGGCAGATTGGCAATATTGACAAGTTGATCTTCTCTCTCGAGGGTTCATATCCATCTGGGTTGCAGCAATCAATTGTGTGTTTGGAAATTCTACAACAGCCCCTCTCTACTTTCCCTCGGTGTTCTGCGGGTTGTGAGTACCGAGCTTCGCAGCTATGGCGGCCTTCGCCTCCACCGCAGCTACTACTTTGGCCATCGCTGCCCCTTCCTCGGTGGCTGCCTCTCAGCTCCGTGTCAATGGCTCCCTTAAGGTGTCTGCTTTTCAGGTACAATCCCCTATTCCCTCGCATGTACAAACTTACTCTGTCCTTCTTTTTTCTCACGGCAGGGCACCGAAATTATGGCTTACACTTTGAAGCGGGTCGCCGTTTAGGGTCGCCGCTGAGATTCGTCGCAAGCAAGCGATGGAGTTAGTTCTATTAAGACTTGGAGACTGAACCAGCTGAATAGATCATAATGTTCCCTAGATTGTGAGCAAATTTGCATTTGTAGTCCGAATAGCGCTCTCCATCAGCACCAATCGAACGATATTCTACGGATTTTGAAACCAACGGGATTTGTGTGTCATTCACATTTCGTTTGGTTACAGTTCGTTCCGATGCCTCGGATATTTCTGTAAAATTTGTTGAAGAAGGTGCCGTCAGCTTTTATGCACCACCATCGGAATTGCAGCTGATGAACCATGAAATGTCCGTCCATGCAGGGTCAAAAGTTCGCTGCCGCCTGCAATGGTTCCCGCCTGGTCATGGCCCAAGCAGGAGCTGCCCCAGACGGCGTCGCCGATCAGAAGCCCGACGCGAAGGAGGCTCCCAAGGGGTTCACTCCACCAACTCTGAACGCCGACACCCCGGCGCCCATCTTCGGTGGAAGCACTGGTGGTCTGTTGCGCAAGGCCCAAGTTGAAGAGTTCTACGTCATTACCTGGGAATCACCCAAGGAGCAAATCTTCGAGATGCCCACCGGTGGCGCAGCCATCATGAGGTCGGGACCCAACCTACTGAAGCTGGCCAGGAAGGAGCAGTGTCTCGCACTCGGGGCTAGGCTGCGCACCAAGTTCAAAATCCAGTACCAATTCTACCGTGTGTTCCCTAACGGTGAGGTCCAGTATCTGCACCCCAAGGACGGTGTCTACCCGGAGAAGGTGAATGCTGGACGATCCCCCGTCGGGGTGAACAATAGGAGCATTGGAAAGAATGCCAACCCTGCAGAGCTCAAGTTTGCGCAAAAGCAAGCTTACGACTTGTAGACGACGTAGACCCGATATTGTATAGCTGCCTAATGAATGTAATCTATTTGCAAGTGTATTCCAACTCGTTCTGCTGAACTTCGTCCGCTTGGTTGATGCCTCGTCCGTTGTGAGTCACCGGCGTATCTCTCACACTCCATGGTCGATCATCTCTCCTCTACCTGGGCATGTCGTTTAGTACCAATCGACGTCGTCCCCCTGTGTGGGATGCGTCCCGACATGGTCTTATTCTCTATGGCGTCGAGGTCTTCGGTGCCATAAAACTCTTCCACTCACACCTCTGACTGACTGTCTTTGTTCTGTGGGTGGCCATCTTAACGAAGAATCCTATTACACATTTCGGACATAGTTTTTTCACTAATGAAGGGAATAGTGTGTTGAAGGACTTAATTGTACTAGCTATGTCGAAGAAAATGAATATTGTTGCACCCCTCAGTACGTTGATGATAATTTACACCTATAATACCTGCAAATTTATCCTATTCCCCAGACGTTCGAGCTGCGTCTTATTATCTGCAGAATGTATGTTGATGCAGCTCTCCGTTTATGACTAACATCGTATACCACGTGATCAGTTAGCCAGGCAGGTGAATGTAAGCAGCATGTGCACGGTAAGATCGTCGGATCTATAGAAAGATTATTTTATTCGTCAAACGTTTCTTTGTCACAATCTTGAACTACTATCAACGGATTCCGACGTGTGAGAGGAAGAGTTTTACAGTATGCTTGTAGGAATGGCAGTATTTTTTTGGTTGATTGTGGACACAACTGACAGCTAAACAGGAATCTGTCATTTACAAAAATAATCACTTAACAATACGGGAGTTGCTATGTGGTTACCGGAAGCCATTGAACACAAATATACTTGAACTGTGTGCACTCATTCACATATTCTACTTGATCTAAATCAATTTTCAATGACCTATCCAATTTCATAGTCTCATCTGTTCCTGTTCTTGATTTTACACTATTTTGAAACAAATTGACAATTTTATATGGTTATTTGGTTTGAAATAATTTCATTGCAATGTATCTATTATATATGATAGTTTGGATATAACAAAATGAGACAATGAAGCATTTTGATTTGCCGTATATTTAAAAAAAAAAAAAAAAAAAGAAAAAGTGAGAAATGTAGAAAACTGAAGGGCACAAAAATGCGAAGAGCACAAAAATGCAAAGTGGTTGGGACCCTGATGACTTCTACTAACTGCTTCTATGCCTTAGAACTATTGGTTGCATAAAGCACATTCAATGTCACTTTCTCTTGAATCTGTGTGTGTGTGTGTTGAATTGGTTGAGTTTTCCTACTTCTAATGAAACTTAGGAAGAAACTCAAATTAGACGCAATTAAGGTTGGCTTACAGATTATTTCAAAATTTACTACTTGCACCTTGCAAAGAATCATGTCTTACTTTTTTAGTGCTAGACACCATATTTTTTAGGTAAAATCAAAGTAAGATTAATTTTAGATCCAAGTGTATTATGTTCAAGTCAAATAATCACAATTGTATTTGCTGATTGTGATCATATTGAAATCTTCTTTTTGTTACAGTGATATGTAGTGCACCAAGAGTTCAAATGTCGAGGATGTATAAGAATTAGAAACTACAAGTAAGCAGATGAATGCACTTATAAAATAGATTTGTAATATAGTTCAATTTTGTAGTGCTCTATTATATCTATGTATTTTTTGTCTAATGAAGATATATAAAGTTCTATATTATTTTTCTTGTTATTTGTTAATTTAGTAATACAACATTTGGAAGAGAATCCTTTTGTACACAACAAAGTTCTATGGAAGTGCAATCTACCTTAATTAGTTCAATAATTTATTTTTCTTGATTTGTGGTTTCTATGGAACATTTATTTTTATTTTTATTTTTATTTTTTTAAAATTTATTTAAATGAGAAAAATTATTTTCGGTTGCATTTTTTTTGGATTTTTTAATATTTTTACAATATTATTGATGGGTCTTGTTCTATATATAATCTTTTCAATGGACTCAATACTTCTTATTATGAAGTTTGCTTATTGTAAGGATTCATATTAAAAATATAAGTGTGGACCTACATAAGAAAATTGCTACTACTACATAATGAAATGCATTTTTTTTAGATGTGAACTCTAAATTCTTAAAAGCTATAGTATTGTGGAATTTTTTAGAAAATTTTACACTTTTATTTCATCCAAACTAATTGAGAGAGTTGCCTTTTATCTAATAAGTTCTAATATTGTCCAAGAATTACATCATCTAAGCTTAAGATTAAAAATAAGAATGTTTGTCATAATTATTGTGATTATTGTAATTCTTCTAGACTAGTGGATCTTTACTTTATCAACTTTTCTAAGAATTTGGTAATCAAATCTTGAAACTATAGTTGTTATGTTCTATGTCATTAGTAGCTCTCATACTTCTTCATTAATACACTATTGAAGAATGTACCTAATGTGTTTTTTTTCTTTAAAATATTGATGTATGTGCATTTGGTTAGATGGACCATGTGTCTTAAGACATAATTCTTGGGATGTCCAAAAATTATGACTTCACAATTACAGCCATGCATAGAATTTTTCTCATTATTTGTTGGTACTTAATCTTTAATTGTAGATGATCATTACAAAAATCATTTGGATTTAAGAATTTTCTGATAGAAAAATGACAATTTAGCAAGTCACATAGAATTTTAGATATAAAATTAATCTTATGCAATCCATCAAAAAATAAATCTGCATGAAATTATCTAACTATTTTGCACCTTTAAAGATAAAAATTCAAGTCTTAGAATATTAAGAGAATTTAGTAGTAGTTTTTCATTATAATAATTATTTATCTATGGTTTTGTAAAAATAAAAAGTTATTATACATTGCATTTGTTATGTTAAAAGAGGCTAAAACTTTAAGAATAACTTTTGTATTTTTTTGTAAATTTTTAAAGATTCTAATAATTTATAATTACCAATATTTTAGAAAATTGGTTGTTTTGATTTGTTAGATCTAAGTAATGATTAAATCAACTCTTGATGAAATTTATCTTATATTTCATCATTCTTTTATGATGTTTGATAAAAAAACAATTGTTATAGATCAAATAATATCTATTGCTTTTATAAGTGAGTGAAAAAAAATTATAAGAGATATTGAATAGGTCTCTTTAGATAAAAACATTGCTAGGATTACTATAAGTTTAATAAAAAATTTAAGTACTTAAGTATTTAGCATAGATTCTATAAAATATAGGCCTACAACATCACTCTATTTGTTCCAAGGTTATTTATTCAAAATTTTTATGGAATTTTTTGTTTCAATTTTCTACTTGAACTGATTAACTTGATAGATGTCTTGCTAATATTTGAATAATCAACAATGAACTTAATTTGTGTTTTTTTATTTTTTTTTATTAATTTTTTTAATTATTACATTTTCAAAATCTTGGCATATAATCAAGTATCAAAGTTAAATAAGGCAATACATATTATCCTACTTTAGCCATATTTTTTTTAGAAAAAATAACTAATTTATATTTTTGGCAGTCTTGAATTTACATTTTAGCAATTTATTATAACTAAAAAATTTCTATAGAGAAGATACTTTAATTTTTTTCTTTTATTTTAATATATTATGCTTCATGGTCAAATGTTTGAAGAAGATTCTAGTTACTTTTGGAGGGAATCTTACTTATTTTAATCTTATTTATTATTTTGCTCCTTTCATGCCACAATACATTGACTTTCATGCCACAATACATTGACTCTCACTCATTTCATGGACAATAAGATGGAAGAAGAGTTTGATATTTGAATGCTTGCAACTATTGATAATGGGGTTGTTGGTGTTATGTTTCATGTTGTAGAGCAGAGAGGCGTATGAGGATTTACATATATTTTGTTATTTCAAATTATAAGATAATAAATATATATATATATATATATATATATATATATATATATTTTGATTTCATGATTAGCTAATAGGTGTGTTGAAGATATGTATTAGTACTAAATAGAGAAAGTACTTCTTAGAATGAGAGAGAACTTGGTGGCAAGGAAATAGTGGAAAAAAAAAACCAAAGAGTTGAGTAAATTTTGATAGCAAGTGTAAAGATGCTACAAATTTGCTAGAAAAAGCTAAAATTTTTTATAATTTGGCAAAAGCATGTGAATTCTTCTTTTCATCTTATCAACATACATTGACTTAATTTTTTACAAATTTTTACAATTCTATTAATGTATTTAGTTTGAAGATGATATGAATAATTAAGAATACATCTTCTAATAGTCTTTATTTGTTGATTGTAAATAAAATGTGAACAATATCATAGTTGTAAGGGACAAGGTAACAACTATTCATATCAAACTTGTAGATTATCAAGTATAGGTAGGTCTTTATAGACTTCTCTTCTTTCTTTAAATTCTTCCTATCTTGCATGAAGTAAGCTTGTGCAATGTGTGTAGTTTTTAACCTTGATTTATTTTGCTATATATGTGATTATCTAAGAGTTTTATATTATTTTAGAAGCTATAGTAGATTGGTCAATTAAATATTTCACCACAAGGTTATATGATGCTCAATTACAAATAAGTTTTAGATAATAAGAATGCATTTAATTTATAATGTTTATGCATTTTGTGGCTAATGAAGACATATAAAGTTTTTTTGTTATTTTAGTTTATAGACAACTCTTAATAATATAGAAAGAATGATAGAAGAACTTTCAACTTTGACAATGATAATTTAGACAATTGAGATGTTTCTCACAATCTTATTTTTAGTAGAAAGTATAAATGCCACAACAATATTGTGATTTGTGATTCTATTTTATTTTAAAATATATTCACAAGTTCATATATAAAAGGCATGATTATAAAACATGGAAATTAAAAATGACGAGGGTAAGGTCAAGCAATATATGTTAATGCATAATATATTAGAACTTTAGAAATAACATGATATTTGTTTCAAATGAAAATGCATGAAGAAGTTCTAAATAAGGTTCAATTGGCATTGCATCTTCTTGAAGTACTTCAAGTAATTTTTGATCTAAATAATGATGCAACTAAAGTTGGATCATGGAGAGCAAAAAAAAAAAAAAAAAAAAAAAAAAACTTTGATGGTATTTTTTGAAATGTATGAATTTATAGAGATTGTCATATAATATAAGTATAAAGAGTTCCTAGAATATTTTGTATGGAATAAGACCTCAAAAAAGTAGACAATAAGATAATATTGATCTTTAATTGAAAGGTTATATTTTTTTGATTCTACTACAAGAAATAGATTCTATCTTTGGCTTCTTTTAACAATTGTGCATAGACCACTATTATTTGGAGATTTATGAATTTAAATAGAATTATTTAATTAAAATTTAAAATTTTATGTTTAAAAATATAAATATTAAATAATAAAATTAATATTTGGAAGAAGCTTCTCTAATAAAAATAAAAAATCAGTTAGGAATATTTTTTACTGCCATTTTTCTAAAATATTCACCTTTACATTTAGAAAAGTTATGAAACAAGTTTAAAGAAAGTTTTTGTGATGATGTGGATTACCAATTGAGATAAGATTATGGAATCAAGAGGCCAAAAAAAGATAGATATTAGATTATAGGCTACTTTTGTTTTTTAATAAAATTCTTCAAGAAAGCAAAACATTTGTTGATTTTTTAACAATGTTGCAGTAGAAAATGAATTGGATTGAGAATGGTACAAATTTAATACTTACAAAGCATATGGCATGAAATTCTAATTAACTAAACAAATAATAGAATAATATGTGCTAAATTGAATGATGAACCATATATTTGGACATCCTTGCTTTAATAGATAACAATCTTTGAAAGCAATATTTTATAGAAGGATTGACAAGAAGTAAAAAAATATTTGTTTCTAATATCGAATTAATAAAATTCCAAAGTGATAGAAATATTCTTTTGTGCATTGCTTCTTCTAGAATTGTTGCACAACTTCTAAGTAATGGATGGGATGTATAGATTATATTTAAAATTTTGCTCGATTACAATAAGGATTTATTTTGCAATATTACAAAGGACGTATCATATATAAATGTGGTAAAAGAATGGTTCTTATTATCAAAGATGAAGTACCAATGTAGCATTGTCATTGAGCAGAGATAATTGATAGAACTCTCTAAGACATAAATGACATTAACAAGTTATTTGGAAAAATTATTATTCTTTTTATCAGAGATTTTTGACAAATGCTTTATGTTGTTATTAAAGGCTCAAGAAAAGAGATTGTTGATGCTTCTTTGTAATGATAAAAGTTTAAGTCTTATATTAAAGTATATAAGTTGACCAAAAATATACATTTGGAAGATAAATCTAATGAAAATCAATTATTTGTTGAAGAGCTCTTGAAGGTATGTATTATACATGTTTGTTATTTTTGAGAGTTTTTTCATAATACAATGATTATGTTAATACATCTAAGAGTAGTTTCTATTTATAAATTGGGAATAGATAAAAAAAAATTTATAGATTCATTGAGAAGTATAATGATTCTTCCAAAACATATGAAAGTAGGTCCAATATCAAATGATTTGATTCAAGTTATTGTTTTGAAATTGAATGAGAATAGAACACTTAAAGATGAATATTTTATTGAAAAATCAATCTTATTTGCATAAAATTATAATATTAATGATCTAAATATGCATAATATAGAGAAATTACTTAGAATTTTGTATGCTTATCTTAGCATAGATATAGCAATTATGGAAGATAGTGCCAATGATGGCAATTGTTATCTATGTGAATATTTGAATAGCTTAATTTATCTCAATTGCCACTATTTAACATGGATCTAAAGGTTTGGTGTCCAATGATATTTTTGCGAAGCATTGCTCCACGTCAAGAACTTTGTAATAAATCACACTTAATCATTATGAAACTAATTGATCAAGTTATAAAGATAAGTCTATTATGATTAAGATCCTATATCTTGAAGATAATGAAGATGAAAACACCACTGCAAATATAGTTTGTTTTGAAATTCTTTTCACTTAACTATTTGAGTTGTTATAATAAATAAGAATTGGATTTGCCAATAATATTAAAGAAACATAAATGGTTATATTGTTATGCATACATATCTATATATATATATATATATATATATATTTCTTTTTATCCTTCTTTGTCAACATTTCTTGAGTAGTTAATTTCTTTTTCAATTTTTGACTCAATGTGTTTTTTTCTTTAGGGTTTCTACTAATATATGTATATGTATATATATATATATATATATATATATTCAATGTAAATGAATGACTGCAGAATCTGCCTTCGCTCATTTCTAGGGCTGCACATTCCGATTAGAACGCGACGTTCCCGAGGTTTAAAGAGTCTTGTTACAATCTCGGTAACCGTGTTCAATACGCACGTTCCCAGGGATTGCTTATCCTCTAGCTCTCTATCTGTGCGCAGACTGGTCTCTCCTCGCCTGAGCTCACTGAGCAACATTTTTCTCTCGTGATTTGAGGAATTAGGACTCTGGAACTGCCCGAAATCAAGCCTGCGGACTAGGTGAGATTGGAGGATTGTGATGAGACGTTCGCCAACGCGAGGGGAATGGGTGCAATGGGTTTTTATTTGAGGGTTTTCTGTTGATTCTGGAGTCCTTGGGATTGGTTTGATGCATTGTCATTAGGGCGTCGCTTGTGGTGATGGGAACAAAGGGTTTTTGTCTATGCTTTGGGGTTTTGGGGTTTTCGGTTTTCATTGAAGCGTAGAGATTTCACTAGTTGAGGTTCTTGTCGATAGACAAACTCCTTGAGAGATCGTGACTTCGCTGGTCTGGAATTCGTTTGCTCGGTTCCAGATTCCTTGTTGGGAGTGAGTATTCTCTCCATTTTTCTTATCTATATCATAGAAATTGGTCAAAATCCTGCATGAAGAGCACGGGTAACAACGATTTTTATTATTGGAACGAGCCCAAATATTTTGGAAATTGTGGATCCCGGAACTTCTGATGAGAATTCGCTACTTGTTCGATAGAATTAGGTTTGAGTGAAGGATTGTAGCCTGCTGTGCTGATTCGACTTGAGTTTGACAGCTCTCTGTTAAGAGATAGGGCAATTGGTCCAAGCCTGTTTGCATGAGAGTGTTGAGATTAATAGTAGTATTGGATTACAGAGGATGGCACGTGGTAGCGTAACCAAGGAGAAGGATGGCTATGTTCCACCGTGGAGGCAGCCTGCACCAAAGAAAGAGAAGTTCGACGACCTGAAAATGAAGGCCGTGAGGGAGCCTGGTAAGGGGTCGACTATGTATGCGCCACCGGCGGGTAAGCGGGGTGGTTTACCCACGCTCGACGAGCCGAAACCAAACATGTTTGAATTTGATGAAGACCTCACACTTGCTTTTCGGAGAAACTTTCAGGTATCAGACTGTCTGTTGCTTCCACTCACAAAATTGCTGTTCATTTGCGGCTTTTAGGTTCAATGTTTTTTTGTTGCTTTAAATCTTTTACGCACGTCCCATTTAGTAGAACCGTAAATTTGAGGTAGATGAACAAGAGGTATGGGGTTCTCGCTAGAAGCATGGACATAAATTATTCGTGTCTAAATGAAGCAATTTTGTTTTTGATGACATTGCAGTTCGTGAGGAGGGCTTTGAGTCTCGACACTCTTCTTCAGCCTTTACCACCTCATATAGCTGGCAATATCGCACGAAATGTCGGCTTCTTCACACGCATCTTCACGCAGTTCTTTGGTAAGTGTTTCTCACCGAAGATGGACAGTGGTGACTGTCAGTGCTTGTCAGGCAGAGCCGTGCCGTAGATCCGGTAGTTTCTTTGTGTTGCCTCGCCAGTTTTTATGAGAGTGATGAGACTTTCGGTCTTACCTCTTTGAGCTCATTCTGGTGAGAGCCCTCTAGATTGTGCCAAATAGTGAAAGATGTCCAAGGATACATGCAATCAATGATCCTCTCTCGTTATCCTTTTACAATATGTCGCAAGGCCTTGAAATATGTCAATGTCAATTCAATTTCGTGAGTAGAATGTATCTGGAGTTGGCATAACAAGTGTGTTCGTTTGTTCACATTAATGTGCAGATTCCAAAGGAATTGAAATTGCGAGGAAATCCATGGGTCTTGGACTGGAAGAGGGTCGCAGAAAGGTGAAGGACTAGAGATATTTTATGATTCAACACTGCAGCAAGACTAGGCAATATTGGGGATTTGTCAGCGGATCCATAAGGATGTATTTTATGATGCTACCGGTTTGTACCAATTGCATTGTCAATATGAGTGTTATTTACTTTTGCGACGTAAGATTCAATTTTTGTCCCTTGCGTGTTTAGTCTCGTATATGAATCTAAATTACGTCATGTTATAATGAAGATTTGTCATTTCAGTGTACATGAATTTTTGGTGGAAAATTGAGGTAAGCTTCGGATTGGAGTAGATTTAATGGTTTGACTTGTGTTTGTCAATAACATTTTCAATTGTAGTAGCCTGTTTAGGTTACGTTTTTCTTTACCATTTTCATTTGAAATATCGGTAATTTTGCAAGTGGACAATAGACCTTAAGAGTGCAAGTTGTGAAATGTTAGCTGATATTTGAGAAAATTGAGATTTATTTTTAATATATGATAGCCTTGGAGATTTCACAAAATATATGTCAAATCAAATTGTAAATATATATGAAGATGATTGTTGTGATCTTGATAATGGTTTGCAAAAAAAATTATATATGTTAAAGTAGGTTGATGTATATATATATATATATATATTTATATATATGGTACTACAAATACCACCATAGATTTTATTTTTGTCACCACAATTTACCACCCATTTGACATATATTTTAATTTTTTTTTAATTTTATTTATTTATTTACTTGTATTTCAATCAATTTTTTTCAATCAAATAGTTTGAATTGTGACATAAATATATATATATATATATATATATATGTATATAAATATATGTAGATGTATATATGGTATTATTGTTACTATTATAATTATTATAATACTAATTATAATAGTATTAAATTAAACTAAACAAAATATGCATTAACCATTATATATATATATATTAAGATCACTTAAGGAGATAAGTAGTAGCTTTCATTCATTACATGCATCCCTCTTGGTTTTCATCAAATACTCTCCAATTGATTGCATGCCTTATTGATTTTGTCAAAAGTAAAGCAAAAGTGCAGAGTTAATTCAATTTTTTATCAATAAAAAATCAAGCAAAAAGCCTAGATCACTAAGAGTTTATTAATTATTTTTGAATTGTTGCAAACTCATAAATATACTTGCAAGAGTGTACATGAGTTGATTTATTATTTTTTTGGCAACATCAAAGGTGAGAGTTGGAAATTGTCTTGCCATAGTACAAGTTTTTTTTTTTCTCTTTTTTTAGAAATGGTGATGGTTATAGTTTACCTAATAATTTATGTCAATATATTGCTATTGGATTTGATTATCAGTTTGTTGATTGAAAATAGAGTTGAAAGGAGAGTCTATTTTTTTAGTAGGTAACAAGGATTAGTTTCTTAATCTTTATTGAATCGACTATGGTCTTGTAAGGGTGATTATTAGTATGGTTGCAAGCCTTGGCATGTGCTGTTGAAGAATTCAAATTCAACATTTTTTTTTGGTTGCTTTAGTTTTTGATCAGCAAATTTAAAGCTTATCAATTTTGAGTGAGTATAAGGAAGACCAAATAGTCTATACATACATACATACAAATAGATTTGTAGTTTGTATACCAAGCTTTGATGTCTGTAAGAAGTTATTGTTATATCTGTTACGTAGAACAAAGATTTTGGTTGCTTAGATTTTCTATGATTGGATGTTGATTGCCTTAGTTTTTGATCAATAGATTTAAAACTTATTAATTTCAATATTATTTCCTTAAAGGAAGTAGAATGATGATTCAAAGTTTATCATGATTACCTATGTATCTTAAATCCTTTCACAGACTTGTACAACTACCTCTAACAATCGTTGCCACAAATTGAAGATTTTGAAGTAAGGTAAATGAGCACATTCTCCAAATTCCAATGTTGATTACTTTTCATACATTTTTAAGGATTTGTGTAGATTTTTAGATTTTTAGATTTTCAAAAGATCTAAAACTATTTGAAATCCATATTGTTGAATTAGGGAGCAACAGTGGGAGCTTGATTTTGTTAAAAGGGGAGTCTGGAGAAAAGCCAAGAGTGGTTGGAGTTGTTTGAAGTAGCATCATTTAATAAGGTCGTCTAAAACTTCATAACTAAGAGCCAAAGAATTGGACAAGTGGGGTTGATCTAAGTTGCCTTTTGGAGTCCTTCGAGCTTAGTATTGTTACATTGAATGAAGCTCTTTGTGAGGCTCTAGAAGTACAGCATCAATGTCAAGCTATTATATTACATCAATTAATTCCATGCTTATTTGTCTGTTTTTTGTTCAACACAATGTTATCTAGCAGATACATATATCAAATGGATAGAAGATCACTAAATTTGATTTACATAATATAAAAAATGTATAGGTCATCAAAATTGCTAAAAGATCTATTGTCTACAGTTACTTTTGAAACAAGTATAATATAGCTAGAAGTAAAGGAGCTTGATGTAAGTGTGAAGGTTGTTTGTTGCAACTGTTAACTATACATTCTTCCATGTGATACAAATAGAAACACTATCTTGAATCATGCAAAATTTCATTTTGAAACTATTTTGGTTTGAATCAAACTTTGATTCAATCATTGTAGATCAAATTATGAACTTCTTTTGTTGTTGATTGCCACAATAATATGATATCATTGATATATATATATATATATATAATTAAATACAATTGAAGGTGAATGTATAATTGAATGTAAGTTACAAGCTATGAAAGGAGAGATGATGCGTGTGTTGTGTAATAAGAATAAAATTTTATTCTAATCTATTCTAAGAAGATTATTTTTCAAACTCAAGCATGTTGCATGTTGAAAATTCACTTGATTTACAATAAGGATAGAGAATCAATATTTGTTGCTACATCATCTCCATTGTTACAAACTTTGTATATATATATATATTTTGTCAATCTTGACATTGTGACTATGATGACAAAAGTCATTTTTTTTTTTTTTTTTTTTTTTTTATTTATTATTGGAAGCCATTATTGATGGGCAATGGAATAATTAAGTATCTGAAATTGCACCAAGGAGTTATGGTGAAGTAAGTGTTGAGAGTAGGTCCAGAACTTACTCAAAAGCCCTATGAAATAAACATTGTTTAGAAGTCAAATGGAAATATTAATTTAATTACATAGCTAATTGAGAGAGAAATTTGATCAATTATTGTTTTTTAGTACTTTGGAATGTAGGCATGAAGATTAAAAAGGAAGAATGATAACTTTTTTCAAGCCTTCTATAAAAGAAGCATAAGTAGAAGAATTTTGTACTTAATTTTTTTGATTCTACATCACATGCATTTTACATCTTTCACTCCACTATAACAGAAGCTAGGATATCATTGTTAAATATGGATTTATATAGAGATTTTATAAGAAATAAAGTCATTTTATTATTTTATAATTTTATATTAATGTTTTTTTATCTATGTAATTATATTCATAGTTTCAATAGTTTTTATATTACTTTTATTATATTATATTTCATATTATATCTTCATTGTAAATAAAATTCTTAAGCAACAAAGTTTGATTGGAATTTTAGAAGTATTGTCAACTACAATAAGAATTGCTAAATAAAAATTTAATTGTAGAAATTTTATTTCTTGCTTTTATATGATAATTTTTATATTCAACTTCATATATATATAAATATATAAATATATATATATATATATATATGTCAATTTTATTTAATAAATAAAGAATTAAATATTTATAAATTTTATTTATTCATTTTGATTTATAAAATGTAACATTTTGAAAAAATTGAGTTGTTTGTTGTAGCAAGTTGTTGTAAAAATATGTATAATCATGATCAATATGAATGCATAGATGTAGAATATGTTTGTTAAAGCACTATAGTATTATAATTTGACTAATTAAGTTGTATGCATTCATTTTTATTTTAGAGGTACTATGTAATTTTGCTATAATACTTAAGTAACAAGATTTTATTAAAATTTTATGGAGGTGTAATTTCAAGGCTTACTAGCTTATATTAATTTTCTAGTAGAACTTCTGCCATTGTGAATGGTCCAACTTTAAAAATGCATTGGAGAGCAATTGCTCAATAATAGCATAAGAAACATGAGAGAGCTCAAAGAAAAGCTGAAATAGTTACAAGTCTTGAAGCCATACATAATCTCGGGAAGATGAATGTTTTATATCCTTGTTGTAATGCACTGCATTGATTTGATGAATATTTAGCCGATTGCTAAAGGAATTGCCATTATTTGGACAATATTTTTGTCAAAGAAAAGTTTTTTTTTTTATCATCTCAACTTTCTCCACCTTTACTTTTGAGATATTTATTTGAAGACTAAGATGCAAGAGTAAGGGAGTTTCAAAAAAAAAAAAATTCAATAAAATGCTTTATATGTGTTTATATCTATAGGTGCAAATATTGAATAATTTGTACTTTAAAAAAATGTTCTATATAGTTTTAGAATAAATAGAGAGTTGCATCATTTAGTAGGAGTGTTGTTACTAGGAAAAGGTATTGATCCAACTTATATACAATTCTATATCTACAATGCATCATTTATATAAAATAGAAGAATGAGATGTAATTGTGGTTTATTGAGTCAAATTATGTGAAAAATTAGAAAAGTTTTGAAGAAAAATAATTTTCTTATTGAATTATATAGACAAGCACATGAAACATTATCTCAAGTACAGAATGAAGGAGTAGTAGAAGTAGATCTTGTTGTTTCTTTGCACTTCATGAATGAAAGCATTAGACATTAATATAATCATTCTATCACTTTTGAAGAAATTTCTATTATATTGCTTGAAAATGGATTGGAATATAATGCACTTTGTGACATTATTATTTGCCTATGTAGTAATAAACTATCAAAAAGGATTCATGAGGTTCATCTTGCTTATTTTTTCTTTCATTATATTCTATTTTTTCCATATAGAATCCTTGGATGGCATCATGGTCTTAGGGTGCAAAATATAGTGATGATATTATTGAAGAAAAAGAAGGTGTTAGATGAGAGGATTGGAGACACAATAGCCTTATACAAATGGATTATTTTGTTTATCATTTTTTTTAATGCCTACCAAATATTCTATAATTTTACATGAATAAAAGTTATTATAAGAATTTATGGTTGATGGATAAGCAGTAATTGAGTAATTATGT